TTGAACAGGGCTTTAACTTGAAAAGTTGTAAAAAAAAAAATTAATAATAATAAAATTAAATAAATAAATAAGTATGCTTTGCATTGCATCATTATAAGCCTCCTTTCAAAAAATCATAGCAAGTTCTAAATGTAAAAATGATTAAAGCAGAAGTGAAATTTATCCCTTTTAAAAATTTCAATATGAATACTTAAATTGTATAAAGTAATTTATACATGCCCTGCATTCGATCAGTTGCCGAGAAATGTAGGAAAATTTTATAAAACTTTGAACATTTCAATCATTTGGGAAAACAAAAAAACCTCTACTGAGTAGAAATAACCATTTTGCTTTAGTGAAGTCGAAAAGGACATGGGCAAATTAAGAGGACTTTTGGTATCTCGTGAGTTTCAAGAATGTGAAAAAGTGTAACGGATGAAGACCATTTGTGAAGTTTAAAGCTTTTCTTATTTTTAATGCATGAAGAAGTGTAACGGTGGAGACCATTTGTGATCGAATTTAAAGCTTTTTTATTATTATTATTTTACCATTGAAGTTCAATTACACTTGATTGAATGCAATTAGAAACAAAAAATAAAAATCTCAAATGAAAATGTAAGACGTGCTTCTCTTTTTCTTTTCTTTTTTAATTAATGTACAAGTGTTTTTTTTTTTTTTTTTTTTTTTTTTTTTTTTTTTTTTTTTTTTTTTAAATATTGTGGATTAGAGTAGAGGTATGAATGAATGGGTGATAGGTGAGTTAATGAAACTTTTTATATGAATAAAAAAATATTAAGAAATAGAGAAAAATCTATAGGGACTATGACGAGGTATGAATTATTACCTGCTTTAATGAGACTTTTTATGTGAGAAAAAAAAAAAAAAAATGTTTAGAAATAGCTTACAATAAAAAAAAAAAAAAAATGTTTAGAATTGTATAGATAATAATAATAATAACAATAATAATATAGTATAAATTTATTTATTTTGGGTTGGAAAATTGTGGAATAGGACTGTAGAATTTTGAAAAGTAATGTAATGATAAAAAATGTAGAGCTCTAGTATTTTTTTGTTATGATTTTGTTTTTTTATTTTTATTTTGTCCATTAATCTTGTTTTATCATACATATACGTGTGTTTGTTTGTATTGGTTTTTATCTAACCTAGCTTAAGTTATTATATTCATTTACTACATATATAATGTATACATTTATATATTCTTATATATACTATTAATGAGATATGTATCATACATATATATGTGTTTGTTTGATTTGACTTTTATCTAACCTAGCTTAAGTTATTATATTCATTTACTACATATATAATGTATACATTTATATATTCTTATATATACTATTAATGAGATATGAATTATTATGCTTTAATGATTTTTTTTTTCTGAAAAAAAAAATTTGTTAAGAAATTCCTTACACTTTTTGTCCATTAATCTTGTTTAATCATACATATATGTGTGTATGTTTCTATTGGCTTTTATCTAACCTAGCTTAAGTTATTATATTCATTTACTACATATATAATGTATACATTTATATATTCTTATATAAACTATTAATGAGATATGAATTATTATGCTTTAATGATTTTTTTTTTTTGTGAAAAAAAAATAAAAAATGTTAAGAAATTTCTTACACTTTTAGAATAGTGTGTGTATATATATATATATATATATATATATATATATATATATAGAATAAATATAGATTTACAATTTTTTTTTTTTAAGGAAATGGCATCGATTAATTTGCAGTTTATTCTTATACAGGTGCAACTCTATAAAATTTTTGGGCCTATGGCTTTGTATTCTTTTGTTGCCTTGTGGGCTCCATTTTGGGCTTCGTCCATTCTGTTCTTGCGTAAAGGCCTTTAGGCTTCTAGCCCATCCGCAAATAAATAAATAAATAAATAAAATAAAAAATAAAATAAAATAAAAAACTTCTTTAAACTATTACTCTTTTGTAAATAATTTCCTCAACTACAAATTGTCCTTCGATTTGTTACAATTAAGGACAAACTAATTACAAAAAGACTATTTTACCCTTTCTCACTACATTTATCATTTTTTATTAAATTATTTTTATTATCTTTTCTCTTATTTAAATATTAATTATACGATTTATCTAAATTTTATTATTAGTATCAATTTATCATAAAAATTAAAAAAAAAAATTAATCGATTTGTAACTATTATTTTCTAGGGTAAAGTATAGTAGCACTCCCTGAGGTTTGCCAAAAGGACATTCAGAGGAAAGTTTACATATTTTGGGACAATGACACCCCTGAAGGTTGATACATCTACCAAAGACACCTCAATGGTAATAAATTGACATTTTTACCCTTTGACTTTTATATTGACTAATTTAAATACCGAAATGACCTTTTTAACCTCATACCCATAATAATTTATTTCCTTCTCTCCTCTTTATTTTCTTTTCATCAACCCCTAACACCAACACACACTGTCACACATATACACATATACTGTCACACACACACACACACACACACGTACACATAAAAATTGAAAGTGGAGTATTTAAATATTGCTAGAGCTAAATTATAACAAATGTCCTAATGCATCTAACAACCAAAATCCATATTTTGTAAATATAATTTTTCTAGTCTTACAGAATTTGACAAACACCGCAAATAGGAGGGATTGAGCATAAACATTGGAAAATTTAAAACCAAAGCCAGAAAAATTACATCTATAAAAACAATTAATGAAAATTTCAAAACAACTTGCATCATCAAATCAACCCACCAAGTTATTTAGAGAATTTAATAACCATTTTATGGCCAAAAGTTAAAACTTGGTTTTGCTCAAGGAACACATCAAAGTAATTAGATTTATTAACCGAAAAAAATATCAAATAATTGATGTATTATTTAAATAAGTATGAATTTATCATTTATGTGACAGTATGTGTATATATGTGTGACAGTGTGTGTTGGTGCTGGGGGCTGAGGAAGAGAAAGAGAAGGAAAGAAATTGTTATAGGTATGAAGTTAGAAAGGTCATTTCAGTATTTAAATTAGTCAATATAAAAGTCAAATGGTAAAAATGTCAATTTATTACTATTGGGGTGTCTTTGATAGATGTATCAAACTTCAGGGGGTGTCATTATCCCAAAATAGACAAACTTTCCTCTGAGTGTCTTTTAGGCAAACCTCGAGGGTATTATTGTACCTTACCCTATGTTCTAAAATGATCAACTTTTATTAAAAATTTACTATTTATAAAACTTATAATGCTAACTTTAATTTTTTTTTTTACCATAAAAAATACCTTATTTTTCATAGAATATATTCATGAAAATTTAATAAATTATTTAAATGAAAAATACCTTATTTTTTATGCAATATATTCATGAAAATAAGAAATTACTTAAATTGTTTAAAAAAATTATACTTAAGATTTTTATTTTAAAAATCAATGTAAAAAATTAAAGGTTAATTTATGCAAAATTAATGAAGAATATGTCATCAAATTATTATGGTTTTTTTCATAGTTTATTTCAATAAGAAAAAAAATTAAGTATAATTTAATAAAATATAATTTATGTTCATTTAATAAAATATAATCATGGCATTGGGGCATTTTGCAACTAAATGTGATAGTTTAAAGAATTTTATGCATAAAATATACCTCAAGGAGGTTATTTGTAAATTTTGACATAGTTTAGGGGTTTTTTTTTTCTACTTTACCCTAAGAAATATTAAGTGGAAACAACGCCAAAAATAAATAAATAAATCACTTGAAGAAGAAAAGAGATGTAAAAGTCTCTCAAATCCAAACACCAATATACCACAAATCCTAGCACCTTTATATACATCGAATTATAGACTAAGAATCGAGTGAAATTCTGCCAAAGACAAAACCAGTCAAAGAAATTTTGCCCAAACATAATGAAAAAAAAACAAATTAAATTAAATAAATTCGTGTCAAATATCGAATTGGGCCTTGAACTCAGTTCTTAAATAAATAAATCCGTATCAATTTGTAAAATTTCATTCAAGAAATTGGACTTTAAGTCATCTATTAATGCTATGAAAAGCAGTAAAATGTTTTGATTCCAAATGTATATAACCAAACACTCCACAAGGTGGTTCTCAAATATTGGAAACATGAATAACCTAGGCAATTAGCCTTACAATCATACTTTTATCTTCTTCTATATTTCTTCTACTTTCTTCTCACTATTCAGGAATTTTACTTCTCTCTCCCTTGAAGAATGTTAAGGATCATTATGATAATGAGAACGTGTCAGGTTAGGTGTATGAAATTTTCAATTCTGACATCACTAGTATGTAATTAGATTATGCTTACCTAACATATATATTTTGCCGTTTTTCATGGGTTGATTTAGACTATTGTGTTTGAATTTGAGGATGCAAACAATATTTTAAGTACATGGGGACACAATAAGAGGACATTTGTCCTACCTATTAGCCTGCACTACCCTTTTTTTCATAGGTCACAAGGTACTCTATATGCATCAATTCAGGAAATTAGGTAATCAAAATTGTTTATCAGATGAAAGCTAAATAATTGTGTAGACAATTGTATGACCCATTGAGTCCAACTAATTTTTTATTTTATTTTTTCTTTCTTTTTTGAGATTATGGATGGGTACTTCACTCGAAAGTCTACCACTACTCTTGGCATATATATACTCACACTTGTAAAATTACGTGTCAAATAAGCGCAAGAAAATCCTCTCGACATTAAGCCTAGGGTTGAGAGTCAAACGAAAGATTTTTGCTTCACGAGGCATTGTTGTTGTCAACATCCATCGTTTAAGTCTAGGTCTCATGTTCGACCTAAGGAGAAGTATTACCTTACCAGTTGAGCTATACACCCTTGCAAGACTTACGGTGATGTTTTTAGAGCCCAAAAAAATGATATAATTCGATCCTTATTAAATTATTGATCTTGAAATTAGGAGAGTTTGATCAAATATTTCACCAAAGTGAACCATTTTCACTAGAGCTTCAAATGTTCAATCTAGCTGCAATAAAAAGAAAGTAACAAAGGGAATGAAAGACTATATCACTTTTACAATGCATGCACATACACAAGCTATTGCAGTTGGTTATGCATCACAAATGTCACTTTTGACTTGAACTATGAAAATATTGTCAACTTGTTCTATATATAAAAAAAAAAAAAAAAAAAAAACATTTGCTAGATACATTCTCATCACTTATCGAGATCAGATCCAGAGAGAGAGAGAGAGAGAGAGAGAGCTGTAGACAAGAATCCAAGATGGAGATGCCTCTAGATTGGGGAATTATTGGGCATGGAAGTGATCCAAATATGTCCAGTTCAATAATGCCCACTTAGTCAGGCCCAGCTGTAACTAACTTCCTTCCAACCTCTCCCTGTGGTCCATCCACCTCCTCCCATGTGATTGCTTCCTCTTTCTCACCACACTCCAAATTGAGCCAATATCAATTGTCTCATTTACCTTGTCCTATTTCTCTTGGCTTTAATATGATACATCCACTACTCTAGGTATCATCCTCTTATTCAACTTTCCAAGCATATAGAAACAGGCAAAACTCAGATGACCCACCTGCATTTAATCCATCTAGTACTGAACCAGAACTCCCTGTCTGAGATGACAATGGAGTGGACTTGGACGACGACGACGACAACAATGGTGATGATGCTGTTGATTTGGATGAGGCATATGTGGATGCCAAAGTTGGCTTAATAATGAACAATGCGTGCCTTAGACCAGGACTAAAGAGCCAGTCATGGACATCCCAATACACTTCTATTTTCACTTTCTTGAAATGAATGCATTCATTACCTCTAAACTTCCATTGAAGGTGTTTGACATGAATCACCAAATGCCCATCAAGCCTTATCTCCATTTCTGGATCCACCCCACCAAAACAATTGCTATTAGCACTCATCTCCCCATTATTGTTGCTTCTGTTCTTGCACTCGATTGACACCTCATGAAACCTACCTTTCTCATGAAACTTCACTTTTGTGAAGAACTTCGTCTTGCCAAATATGTGTTCCTTCTTCGAAACCAAAATGGGATCGATAAGACCTGGCCTAGAACCGGACTTTTTATACGCCTCGTTCTTTAGATCTCCTAGTAGCAGCACAACTTCTCCATCACAAACCACTGCAACATAGTAGCCTGAGCTTGGCTCAGTTTCGCCGTTGAATTTTGCAGCTTTGAGGTCCCAAAAGATGTCAATAGGCTTCCCGTCCACTTCTAAGCGCTTTGAGCCTTGTTTCTTCCAAAAGCACCATGGTTTCAGCTGAACCTTACATGTATACTGGCTTTCACCGGCCGGTCCTTCTACTGACACGGCTAGGATGTGGAGCAGCGAATTCTTACGCCATGTAACAGTGATCAAGCGACACTGGCCTGCGATTTTTGTCCGGTAAACGGACATGAAAGCACTATGACCTGGCCTGGTCACAGCAGCAGGGTCATCATTCGGCTTCTCACCGGATGAGAAACAAGCAGGGAGACCAATTTGGTCTTGCATCATACTTGAAAAATTGATTGGTGTTCAGAGGAAGAATTAGGGCAACTAGAGATGATATAAATGAACTGGACTGAGTATGTTAACAATATAAGACAGGGAGATAGTGAGAGATCATGGTCATAACATGTTGTATATGACTATATGTTACAGATGTTGCCAGAGAGGTTTTCTTGGCAGCATATATTAATGTAACATAGATAAGAAATATTTCCAAACTGGCACACATAGATGGCATATGATGAGTGAGAGTGAGTGAAGAACTACCATTTTATATATATATATATATATTCAATTGTCTGCAACAGTACTCTGCTTACCTTCTCTTACCTGGCTTTTACTATTGTTCTTTCTTTGTTGTCATTGCTTTAATAACTTCTATTTAATTTTTTTATTCTTTTCCATAAGACAACCATTTTGAATCCAAGGCAGGCCTGGATTTGTTATAGTTAAAATATTTATATCCATGCATGGGTAAAAGAGAAGCCCCCTTCTTCACCATATTTTAAATATAGGTTTCTATGTATAGAAAAGGGATTCTTGGAAGCATAATAGCACATGAAGTGAGATTTAAAGATGACCAGTCAAAATTGTAATTATAAAGATCAAGAGTTGGTTCTCCAATGTGGGGGTCTTCATGGTTTTCCTATTTTTTTATTTTTCTAATTTTTTACTGTCTTTTATAAATTTTATGTTATTTTGTACCTGCAAATTGAACCAATTTATTATTATTATTATTATTATTATTTTGACACCAAAGATGTTGTAAATCTGGTCCAAGTTCCAACCTTCTTCAAGAGAAGAATAACTTAGAGATAAATGGCAGCAAACCTTGGGATATTTATCTTGATGAGGATAACCAAGTTAAAAAAGAAAAGAACAAGTTGAAAAAACTGCAAATGTTGCTAAGTTTAGGATCTCATAAGGTAGAATGTGATGTGATTTAGTTAGAGTCAAATGGCAGGGTTCTAATTTATAATTCCCAAAGCTTCAATTTTGTAGTTGTAAATTCTGTATTACATACGAAGCTATTAGCTATTGGTAATGGCTAGTTTACAACCTAGTCAAGTGATGGGTTTATAAAGAAATACAATGAAAATTGTTACAATGGAAATAACTCAAAATATAGAAATGATCTAAATATCCATGACCTCTTTGTATAAGTTGATTCATTGAATCTAATAGGGTAGAATTAGTTGAGGTGTATTAGGTTTAATTTCTTCTCGGTGGAAGTAGGAAGTTCGAATCTCTTTGGCGCCACCTCAAGGGTGCATATGGGATGGATGGACTGCAATGTAGTTTAAATTTGTCCGATGGTGTTATGGGGGGGGGGAGGGGGGGGCGATCTTATGTGCTAAGAAGAGTGATACGTAAGCGGGTCGGGGGGGGGGGGGGGGGGGGGGGGATCTTATGTGCTAAGAAGAGTGATACGTAAGCGGGGCGGCGGGGGGGGGGGGGGGGGGGATCTTATGTGCTAAGAAGCGTGATACGTAAGCGGGCCCGCCGGGGGGGGGGGGGGGGGGGGGGGAGGGTGTTCCTTGTCCGGTCTTATGCACTAAGAAGCGTGATACATAAGCCCAACACCTTAACCTAAATGTTGGTCCACCAAAGACAGTAGTTTAGTGGTATTTTCTCGTCTTCTAAAATAAAATGTCTAGGATTTAAGTTCCCGTATGGGCAACTAAATGTATTTTTTGTCAAGATAAAAATAAATAAATAGAGGCAATATTCACACTCCCCTTTAATACACTTACACTCCGCTAGCCTTTTTTTTTTTTTTCCTCTAAAGAAAATGACAAGACTGATTCTAAACTCATTAATGCATCATCATTTATTATACAATACCATAACTATCTTTTATACTATAAACTTTAACTTCATCTATTTTACGTAGTTTCTTTAATTTTCTTTTTATTGTTGTCAAAAGTGATAATTTATTCAATAAATATAACTTTTTTTTTTGTTCTTTTTTCTTGGGGGTCCTGTTAAAAGAGAGGGGGCCGGGAACAACTACCTCATATGGAGGGTAGTTGTGTAATTTAAAAAAAGTAATCAATCACCTTAGAAGTTAGGGTTAAAAGTGTCATTTCATTTTAGATAACAATAAAAAGATAGAGAAGATGGGTACAAATATGGCCCTCCCATGAGTAAATAAATTACCCGAGTGTTGGTGGGATGCTTTTACCCCAACACTCTGGTTGAGGTGTTGGGTTGGTAAAACAACACCTCAAATGTACAATAATGTCTTTATTTTAACTTATTACCGAAATATAGTATCAAATAGATTCGTGTAATTTTTAAATGCATAATTTTAATAATTATGCTTTAAATGTAGTTAGATATTATTATAATATATCAACTGCGTTATAATACGGTGAGCTAGGTGGCCAATGTTAAACTTACCCTATTTCCCCTTGCGAGGGAAAAGAAAAACGTTATAATACAAACAAAGTTGGGTAAGAATAGCGACTTCTTCTCTGAACCGGGACATGGATGGGAAAGCTGTCTCCCGCGCCATTGTCATTTCTAAGTTGTTTTCTTATTTTGGGATATGGCTTGAGGCTTCATTTGTGCCTAGGTGGAGGTATTCTTCCATCATAAAAATAATAATTTGATTCATTTATTTATTCTCTTAATTTTTATTTTTATTATTATTTTCTTTTTTTTTATTTTTTATCAATTGGCAAGAAATTTACACATCTCGAATAAGACTCAAACTCTCACATTCCACAGTTGGAGATCTATGAGATATCATTAGGCTACAACATTTGATTCTTAATTTCCTTCATTGATGTATTTAGTGTGAGTTACACTATCTGAAATAGATTTTACTTTCTCCTTTATTTAATTTTTAAATTATTTTATCTGAAATAGATTTTACTTTCTCCTTTATTTAATTTTTAAATTATTTTAATTTTACCAAAATAAAACTAAAACCAAACCTACAAAGCATAAATAAAGTGCAAGTAAAGTAAATAAAATTTGAGAGATGATACCAGAATTTTTAGTGGGAAAACCCTGATTGGTGGAAATCAACCAATCGTCTGGAAAAATCTTGAAAATTGTCACGTGGTCCTGAGCGAAACAATCCATTATGTTTGAAGCAAAGTATAATGGATTTCGACACATGCTCACATCCTCTCTCTCTACCAAGAACCAATTGATAATCGTTTTTAGCTTTTCGACTCCCCGTCCAACAGCTCTATAAATTTTAGACCGACCTAAAAAATATTTGGAAACCAAGTCAAATTCATGCAAAAATAACTCCCTAAAATCTGGTAAAAAAGAAACTCAATTGGACTCAAATTGCAATTACCATATTGGTTTTAGGGAAACACAACCGGTTCCGTTTAGGCATAACCGGTTCCGCTTAACTAGTGAGTAATTCATCAACGATGAATTTCGAAAATTGACTAGCACAACCGGTTCTGTTATAATGCAATTGGTTCTGCTAAGCTCGTGAGGTTTTCTTCACAAACAAAAATTGGAAAACAAGAACGGTAACCGGTTGCGTTAAAGCATGACCGGTTCCGGTGTGGCAATGCACTTTTTGAAAGAAAAAAAATTTACAAAATTTCAAATTATCTAACACGAAAACTCACCAAAGATGAAAAATAAAAGTATCCTTGCCAACATACCTTCTCTTACATGATGTTATCAATCGAATCAAAATTGAACGCATATTTGGAAAACAAGAATCGTAATGGTTGCATTAAAGTGCGACTGGTTCCAGTGTGGCAATGCACTTTTTGAAAATTTTCAAAGCACCTAACACCAAAACTCACCAAAGATCAATGAAAAATAAAGAGTAATCACAAACATACATTTTCTAATAGGATGTTCTCAACCGAATAAAAATTGATCGCATATGTGTTGCACTTATTGTTTCACTTTCCACATTAAAATTCAAAAGTGAAACAAAAAATACCACCGAATCTAATAATTTTAACACCCAAATTTGTCATTTACAAAATTAATCTATCATGATCAGAGCAACAAAATGTTAATATTAAACAAAATATCTTATTAATTTCCAAGTGTAGGTGGAATTTTAATAAGCCCATGACACACTGCGTTCTACCACAATAATGAAATAAAAAGGAAGAATGACATACGTATTTTAAGTAGGGTGATATTTCGACGAGGGAGGGCATTCTTATGGTGAGTTTTGTGCAGGGCCGGCCATGGGCCTAGGAGGTCGCCCAGGGCCTCCAAATTTTGGCCCAATCTATATACTTATACTAGGCCTCAAAATTTGGCACAAAAAAAGCTGATCCTACAAAAAAAAATACTGATACAGAAATAAAATATGTTAGGGCCATAATAGAAATAAAACGTTTGGGTTTATGGGCCCAATTTTGTTCAGTTTGGCTCTTTTAGCCACTGATTTTCTAGGGCTCCTGTCGGCTGTCGCTCCTCGAAGTCGAAGGTTAAGATTTGGGTTTGTGTTTGTGAGATTAGCGCCGAAAAGATTACAGGTGAAGTAACTCATCATTTGTTTCCTTCCGGCCGGAGTAGCTAGCTTGTTGGCAATCAATTCCTTAGCGAAACCCTTTTTCTGTGGCAAATGGGGTAAAAAAAACCCCGTCATTTTCGATTCAAAAATAGGATAAGATTTGGGTTTGTGTTTGTGAGATTAGCTTCAGTTTCATCAGGATTTGCGCCGAAAAGATTACAAGTAAGTAACTCATACAATTTATGGTACTGGGTTCCTTTTTGGCTCTTTCCAATCTGAAATTGATTTTTTTTTTCTTGATTCCGTGTGTTTATGGAATCCTTTATCTCCTTTTTGATCAGACTAAGACCTCCATTCTTTTTTCTGATTAATTAGGTTAAGGAAAATATGAGAAGAATCAAAACATTGTTGATTTTTGTCTAACAACTTTCGAACCACTTTTTTTGCTTTGCATTTAGATAACAACGGTGAGAGTTGGGTTAGCTTTATGTTTCATTTATGTCTATATTATGCAGTAATGATATTGTGAAGCACTCTAAGCCGATTGCTTTTATTCTCTTGCTTTTATAATGGTTTAAATTTATTTGAACATGTTGATATTTTGACATTGATACTTCCCAAAGGATGAATAAGAAACAAGCTTTAGATTTGACTACTTTCAAATGTGTTTGTTTGTTCTTTGCAGTAAATATCATTTTCTTAATTGGCAAAATTTTACTAGTAACTTGCAGTTACAAAATGGTGAAAGCTATGTTGTTTCACGCTGAGGAAAGGACTTAGGAAGGGAATCAAACAGAAATTGTTCGATCTAGTAATAATATAGAAGTTTATTAAGAGATGTAATGTAATACTTGAAGGAGTAAAAAATTAATATAAATTGCAGTCAGCTTGATCTATCTTTTGGGAGATTGGATTGCGAGTTTGATTGGGGCAGAATTTGCGCTTTATTGCTAGAGAGCCAACCCGGTCCCTTTTCAACTTGGTAAGACTATTTTTGTTGATTTGGTACAAAAATTGTGTTATTTAGCATACCCCAAAAGAAACTTTTACTTCTACCTTTTTCAAAATAGTTGAGATTGGCTGGAGTTGTTGCTAGGATTTCTTCATTTAAAAGGGTAATTGACTTTCACACGAATGTTATGTACTGTTTGATAACCTCATTCAGCTTAAACGATTAAGACCCTGTTAGGATTGGATTTAAAAACTATTTTTGGTTCTCTAAACCCCGAAAACCAGAATTTAGAGTATTTGGATTGCTCAAGACAAAGAACTTTGGTCTTCTGGACGAGCCTTAATTTATAGGAAGCTGGAGGGGACTAGTTTGCTTCTTCCTAGAAAACAAGGGAAGTCAATTTCCCTTTCATAAAACTTTTGTAATTCATTCCTGGTAGGCAAATCTCAACGGCATAATCTTAGCTTAGGAACTATTCAATGGATACCATAGCCACAAACGTCCTCTTAGATGTGCTTTGAAAATCGACTTGAGAAAGGATTTTGATTCTATAAGATAGCTCTTTTTGGTTGATTGCCTCTCTCTCTCGGGCTTCCTTCCCATTTTTATCTCCTAATCCAAGATTAATGCATCATGTCTCCTTCATTCACCATCCCTTTATATCAAAAACTCCATGGTTTCTTAAAAGAGTCCACGACCTTAGACAGGGGGACTCATTGTTCCATTTTATGTTTCGTTTTAAGTATCGAAATCTTCTCCTCGATCCATAGCTAAGTCCCTCACTCTGAATGGGCCTTTGTTCAAATTTCACTAGAGATGCAAGAAAATGTCTATCCCAAATATCATTTTTGTAGATGACCTGATTTTACTATCAAATGGTGGTCTATATTGAGTTTAAACATTGAAAAGAGCTATAGACCTCTTCACTCAGCTCCCAAGCCTATCAAAAATGTCAATTTTTTGTTCAGAAATTGATCCTGCGACATTGGAGAAGCAAACCTATCAAAAAGGATAGATGGGTATGTGTTTGAACTGCCTCGATCACCCTTGAGATATTTCTCACTAAAGCAGACACTTTCTTTCATTTCCCAACCTTCCACGCTAGTCTAACAAAGCCATTAAGTCTGGAATAGTCTGTCAGTCCTGATGCATAGATTTATACTGTGGCTAGCCATTTTAAATAGACTCTCTACATTGGACAGAAAAGCCATAGAATACTGGCACAGCCCAAACTCTTGTAGCCTTCAACCCAAACTCTTGTAGCCTTCAACCCAAACTCTTGTAGCCTTCATCTCTAATTTGCTATTGGCTTTCATTAGCCCAATGTGTTTTGATTAGTTCTAGGCCTGGTTTTCCCTTAGCTTTCTCACCACAGACCTTCTACATAATTTTACTCATTTATACAATTGCTTAAGTTTCCAAAAAAAAAAAAAAAAAAGAAAGAAGATGATTGCATGTCGAAATAGAAATTAGGGTATAATTAATTGCATTTTGATGAAGCCCTCATTTTGTTTTCTTTCCGTGGTTGAACCTTGCAGTGCACCTTCTCTAAAATAGGATAAGATTTGGGTTTGTGTTTGTGAGATTAGCCTCAGTTTCATCAGGAGTAGCACCAAAAAGATTACAAGTAAGTAACTCATTCAATTTATGGTACTGGTTCCTTTTTGGCTTTTTCCAATCTGAAATTGATTTTTTTTTTTTTTTTTTTTTTCTTGATTCTGTGTGTTTATGGAATCCTTTATCTTCTTTTTGATCAGACTAAAGCCTTCATTCTTTTTTCTGATTAATTAGGTTAAGGAAAATATGAGAAGAATCAAACATTGTTGATTTTTGTCGAACAATTATGAACCACTTTTTTTGCTTTGCATTGAGGTAATATCTATATTTTATTTCAGCAACCTGAATCAATTCATTGCATTGTATTGAGGTAATCTATATTTTATTTCAGCAAAACAAATATTTTTTTTATTTCTATAACTTCTATTTCTATATATATATATATATTTTTGTCAACTACAAGAAAATTTCAATCTGGGCATGAACATAATCATAAACCTCCACTGAGCTACTAGGGCTTTTTGATTTGTTACTGAAAGACGAGCTCAGTCGCCAAAACTCCTATTACAACAGACGGTGACTATTGTCACTGGCAACAACAATCACTCGTATCAAACCATCTCACTATAATATAATCTGAAAAACAATCTATGTTTGTGCTTTCAATTGTATTCATATATACATATATTCGTACATTCATATATATGTATATAAACACATATGTATATATTGATTAAGTTTATACACTTTGCTGATTCATTTTCTTCAGTTGTTCTCAGTAGTGGATTTGGAAATTTGATAGAAATGTTATGAATAGCTAATATCAAAATGCAGACTGATTTTGAAGAAATGCAATCATTTTGCGGGGGTATTCGATTAGTTAGAAGACACAACATTAACAGCTCAAAGATTGTTGATTTTATATCAACTAGGAAATTTCCAGCAAGCAGATGTTCTGATCTTGGCATTTCAAATGGAGTTGGTGCTTTCAATTTTGTTGGGACTTCAATGGATTATTCGAAGGATTGCCTCTTCCGGTCGCTGCCCAAGTTCACTTCTCGGTCTTTGGTGGAACTGGTAAACTTTTGACGTTTTAGACCGTTTATTTTCACTTTCAATGCATACAGAATATGTAGTGTAGATGAATTTGGAATTTTAATGGTTCTGTTATTGCATTTTGTACTTCAACTTTGTGGGTCCTTGGTAAATACTCGGGGAGAGGTGCATTATTTAACAAAACTTTAGGTGGAGTGTTGAGGATCAATTGATAGTTAGCAAATAGATCATGTTAGAAAACATTTATGTTTTTCAGAATGAGATTTTTTTTAAAAGATTTAGGTTAGGTGAAATTAAAGCTAAGAATGCTGTAATTGGAGGCTCGATTTGTGGGTCCTTTGATTTATGTTGTAACGTAGATAATAAGAATGAAGAGATGGTGATGAGTGAATATTTGCTTGGAGAGAGAAGGCAAACTACAAAGTTAGATTATGTTAAGTGCATCTAAGCTCATGACTGAAGAGTTTAAGTAGAAGGGAATGAGATAACAAAAGGATGAAGAATTTATATTCCTGCAGGTAAGACTTAAATTAGTATTAAAAAATGATGAACTACCTTGCTATTTAAAATTATAGTTTTCTGTAAATTAGCACCTCTTAAATTAAAGCGACTCTAGAAACAAGAATAGGAAAGGTTGTTAGAACTCAAGGGACGAAATACGCATGCTTTTGACAGTCCAGTGCTGATGAAATGTTCCCCATCAGCACTATATGATCATAAGCTACATTTACCCAAGCCACCTTGTCTTTCTGTCTTCCCTCTAGTTCATGAGGTAGGGCTATCCACACGGTGCTTATATTTCTTTGAACTCTAATAGTTGTGTGCACATGTGTCATGTAACATGCAGCGAAGGTTGAGATTCAAAATAAGCATGATCATAGAGTGCTGAAAATTTTAGATTTATATATATTAGCACCTCTTAAATTAATGAGACGCTATAAACAAGAATAGGAAAGGTTGTTAGAACTCAACGGATGAAATACACATGCTTTTGACGGTCCAGTGCTGGTGAAATGTTCCCCATCAGCACTATATGATCATGAGCTACATTTACCCAAGCCACCTTGTCTTTCAGTCTTCCCTCTAGTTCATGAGGTAGGGTATCCACATGGTGGCTTATATTTCTTTGAATTCTACTACTTGCGTGCACTTGTGTCATGTAATCATGCAGGGCAGGTTGCGGTACAAAATAAGCATGAGCATGGAGAGCTGAAAATTATAGATTTATATATATTAGCACCTCTTAAACTAATGAGACTCTAGAAACAATAATAGGGAAGGTTGTTAGAACTCGAGGGATGAAATACATATGCTTTTGCCGGTCCAGTGCTGATGAAATGTTCTTTATCAGCACTCTATGATCATAAGCTACATTTACCCCAGCCACCTTTTCTTTCAGTCTTCCCTCTAGTTCATGAGGTAGGGCTATCCACATGGTGGGTTGTATTTCTTTGAATTCTACTACTTGCATGCACCTGTGTTACCTGGACTTGCCGGTACTGGCCAGAGTGTCCGTTGTCGGCACGGACAAGGACATGGGATATGAGTCGTACCCTTCATTTTTCCATCGAACGTGGCTGATGCTTGTGAATGATTAGGAAAACAAAACAGAGGATGTCTAGGTTGATGCTTCTAAAGGATTAGGAATTTTTTTCATATCTTATTTGTCAAATCAGCAGCCATTCATGGTGTTTGAAAGCTTCCTGCTTTAAAAATGGCAGTTTGAGTCGAAATTAGGGTTACGAAGAAGACGACTTTTCTGTTTCCGAGTATGAGTGCTAAGCTGCGTATCATTTTACGCGATATTTGACCATTGACTATACTTTTAATGTCGTGCCTTGATTATGCTACCTGTCTTGTTGAATGTAAAGAGATGGAGACATTTGGGTTTTGTTTTAAAAAGTGACCGCTGTAAATAGCTACCTACTCCTGTCTTATATAATAATTTACTTTTTTTACTGCCTAATAAAGATGTGACTACCTGACGAAGTGCAGTATAATAATAGTGCTTGAAATAGCTTTAACTTAAGCCTTATTTGGTCTCCCTTTTTAATAGTACTACTTTGACTTTGCAAACTGGCAAACAACCACAGTAGTAAAATAAAATTTTCTTATAAAAGAATAAATTTTCCTTATAAAAGAATACAATATATAAAAGAAAACAGCATATATATATATATATATTATTAGAAAATTAATGTCTCAACTATAAAAAAAACCTTACAAATTTGTTCTTTTTCGAAGTGTCCAAGTACCCGTGTCCAAATATTGGACACTTTTTAGCCGAGTCCCTGTATCCGTAAATTGATAGATTGCCGAATCCGACTCCTAGACATGCACTCATGTCCGGCACCCATACCTGAGTCCAGGAAACATAGGAGTGCACGTGTCATGTAATCATGCAGCGTAGGTGAGGTACAAAAAAAGCATGATCACAGTGTGCTGAAAATTATAGGTTTATATATATTAGCACCTCTTAAATTAATGAGACTCTAGAAACAGTAATAGGAAAGGTTGCTAGAACTGGAGGGATGAAATACATATGCTTTTGACGGTCCAGTGCTGATGAAATGTTCCCCATCAGCACTCTATGATCATAAGCTACATTGACCCAGACCACCTTGTCTTTCAGTCGTCCCTCTAGTTCATGAGGTAGGGCTATCGACACGGTGGCTTATATTTTTTGGAATTCTCAACTTTTGCACGTGTCATGTAATCATGCAGTGTAGGTTGTGGTACAAAAGAAGCATGCATATATGTTGGTCTAAAAGAGAATATTGGTTGATGGTTTTGTTAACATTTCCTTGCATCAGTTTTGGCCAAGAAAAAGAAAGGATCTTCAGCACCTTAACATGACCATGCACTAGATTTATTTTAGTAACCACCAGTCTTTGTTCTGGTTCACAAAGAAAAGCTATCCAAGTTGGGCTAATATTTGATAGCATTTGATAATCTAGTCCTGCTTAAGGGCATATAATTGTCGGTGGTTTAGTAATAACATATACAAGAGAAAGAAAATGACAGATGTGGTGGTTATGTGAATTTTCGGTATAGTTAGTGTCATTAGAAAGGATTGAGTAATAAATAAATACCCTTGTGAGGAGTTAAAGGTGACACTTAAGATATAATCCTGAAAGACATTTTAATCATCTCGATAAAGACTGAAATAATTCTAAAATATTAAAATAAATAAAATTTTGAAATGAGGAGAGTAAATCACTTTGTTCCATGTCCCAAGAAATAGCTCCATGGTAAAAGTCATCATTTGAATGAGTATTTCAAGTTCTAATCAATTTCTAGGATTCATGATAATTGTGGTGAATATGTGGAGACTACTTCTTGGTGGAGTTGGAGGTAGTGGTGATGGTGGTTGTAACAGCGGTGGCAATGATGATGGTTTGCTTGTGGTGATGATGTGGACGAGCTGATGACAGCAGCGACAGTGGTATCTTAATAATATTGGTGGCACAATGGTAGAAACAGGCATTGGCGGTGGTAGTGACAGTGACAATGACAACTCAATAGTAGAGGTAGTGGTGACTAACTATGTTACCCGGACTAGGGTACGGGTGTCTAGAAGTCAGATTCGACAATTTATCAATTTACAAGATACGGGGACTCGGCTAAAAAGTGTCTAATATTTGGACACTGGTACTTGGACACTTTGAAAAAGAAAAAAATTATAAGGGTTTTTTTATAGTTGAGACATTAATTTTCCAATAAAATATATATGTATGTATATATATATGTATATATATATATATATGTTGTATTTTTTTATAAGAAAATTTATTTTACTACTGTGGTAGTTTGTTGGTTTATAAAGTCAAAGTAGTACTATTAAAAAGGAAGACCAAACAGGGCTCAAGTTAAAACTATTTCAAGCACTATTAGTATATTGCGCTTCGTCAGGTAGTCACATCTTTATTGAGCAGTAAAAAAAGTAAAGTGACAACTGTAAATTATTATACAATACAGGAGTAGGTAGATGTATACAACTGTCACTTTATAAGACAAAACCCAAATGTCTTCATCTCTTTACATTCAACAAGATAGGCGGCACCATCAAGACACGGCATTAAAAGTATAGTCAACGGTCAAATATCGCGTGAAACGATGCGCAACTTAGCACATAAAACTGTGCAAAGACAGCACGTACTCAGAAACAGAAAATTCGTCTTCTTCATAACCATAATTTTGACTCAGACCGCCATTTTTGAAGTCGGAAGCTTTCAAACACCATGAATGGCTGCTGATTTAAGAAATAAGTTATGAAAAAAATTCCTAATTCTTTAGAAGCATCAACTTAGACATCCTCTGGTATGTTCTCCTAATCATTCAACTCATATCCCGTGTCCGTGTCGTGTCGACACGGACACTCTGGCCAGTATCGGCGAGTCCAGGTAACACTAGTGACTACATGTTATTGGAAGTGATGGTGAGAACCTGGTAGTGGAGGCGGTGATGGTTGTTGCAAACTTTTGTCAATGTAGAGGCTACCCAATTCTTGCAGGAGGGATTTTTTTTCCCAGTTAGAATTATGTGGATCCTATCTCTGGTTTCCCAAACATTGAATTTGGGATTTCAAACTTCCAATTTTATTTTCAAAATCCGATTTCCCATCCGAGTCACTAAGTTTTTTTAGTAATGTGCGAAGGGCTTTAACAAATGAACTGGTATTGTGGGGAAATTTGATCCAATTTGAAGGTTTTACAAGGTCAAGAAAAGGCCAATAAGAATGTGGGTCAAAGTGGTGGCATTCATCATCCGTTATGGAGTATGTGGCTCCAGATAAAGTTGAATTGCAAAAAAGTATTTGCACACTGATGTTATTGGAACATAAGGCTTTGTTGGACTAGTTGAATTATTGATGGTACATGGCTAGCTGATAGGAATAGTATAAACACAATTGGAGAAAATTTGGCTTGGTTGTTAATTATCAATTTATCATAGATGATTTTTGTAAACTCAACTTTACTCTTTCTCTTAGATTATAAGAACTTTTATTTCTTTATATAGGCGGTTTCATCCACAATATTAACTATCCTCCCAGCTTTATGCATGTCAAATTCAGTGACCTCCTTTAAAAACTTTGAACATTTGCATATCTACTACTCGCTTATAGGCTGATCATTTCAACTAGGCCCTTATCATTCTGACAAGCCTTCTTGTAATGAGAAGTCACATTGTTTTTAAAGGTGTTCAATCCTGTGAAAATCCTCAATCTGATCCCCCTGGTCCCATGAACCACTGCATCCGCACCTCTTTCCTTCCTGTTAGTAATGCATTCTATTTCTGTCTCTCTTTTCTTTTTCCTTTCTCCTTTCAAATTTTCTTTCTTTTTCGGGAGTTCCTTTGTTTTTGTGAAGTTATGGCCCGAATTTTGTTTAGGTCCGAGTTGCGTTGTGGCCTGGTTTTGACCAAAAAATAAAAAAGAATAAAATCGACCCATTTTTTCTCTTACGGGGTTGTGGACCCTGTTCTATATTTCCCTTTTAACCCAATATATAAGGGCGTTTAGGTTTTGGGGGGTGTGAAGCACTGAAAACCGTAAGAAAGACTGTGAGAGAGAGAGCTAGGGTTTGGGGCTAAAACTTGTAATATTATGTTTTTTGCATAGTGATATCTTTCGCCGGATTTTCACCATAGACGTCGGCTTAGGCCGAACCATGTAAAGTGAGAGAGCGAGCTAGGGTTTGGGGCTAAAACTTGTAATATCCTTTTTTTTTTTTGCATAGTGATATCTTTTGCCGGATCTTCACCGTAGTAGACGTAGGCTTACGCCGAACCACGAAAATCTTTTTATTCTTTGCGTGTAGCATGTTTACTTTTCTATCGTGATTATTGATTGTGTTCTTGGTTCGCAATATTTGTTGTGATATTTTCATTCTTTTTTGTCTAAAAAGCACGGACATAGATACAACACGGACACGATGACACAGTAAATCCTAAAAAATTAGGACACAGACACGCGGGAACCTAATAAGAGTAATATTATGATGTTGTACTTTAAGAAATTAAGAGTAATACTATTTTTTATCAACCTACTAATGAAAAAAAAAATGTGCTTTGCCGGAGAAAAGAGAGAGTGATAGAAAGAGGGTAAGAAAGAGCAGAAAACAAAGAAACATAAATATGCAAGAGTTTGAACCTTTGAAGTAAATATAAGCATAAATATCTGATTGTATAATATAAAATTGTTTTATAAAACAATTTTTTAAGTAATTATGTAATGACTATCATATTATTGAAAACTATTAAACTCCTCCTCATCATTACACTTCAACCTAGCTTGCTTTCTAAAACTTTTCTTAAAATCCCCAAGTGCCTTATCAAAAAATTTTAAAAAAATCATGGTGTGTTCGTACGGTGTCCGCGTCGTGTGCGAATATCTATGGCGTGTCCATAGCGTGTTCGTGTTGTGTCCACTATGTGTCCGAATATTCAAAAAAATAAACTATAAAATTCAGACAAGTTTTTTTGGAGTGTCTGGCACTTGTCTGTGTTTGACACATGTCCAACACGGATTCTTTGCCCTTTATGCGTGTCCGTGCTTCCTAATTTTTTTGTAGTTCCCTCCTGGTTACTAGTGAGATTCTTTTTTGCCTAAAAATATTATATCAGTGTTTGCTGTTGAGTTTTTCACACAAAGATGTGCCATTTGTGCAGATGGTACTTAGTTGTTGGGCTGCAAATGAACGAACAGCTTGGGCTCAGCTCGTTAAAAGTTCGGCTCGGGCTCATTCGTGAAGTAAACAAGACAAGCTTGAACACACTTTTTAAGCATTGCTGATCTCGGTTCGTGAATAGGCTCGTTTAACAAGCCCATTATATTCTTATTCTTACATTGAAGATGCTAGCCCATATATTACAAGTGTAGCCCAAAGTTACTTCTATTTCAAACCTATCTACTCAGGCCCATCAAACTAATATACAATATGAGGCGTTAGATTGCACTAAATCTAACGGTTCTAAACAAAGTCTACCAAAACAGAGAGCCCCCATGATGGAGATCAATGGCAGAAATCTTTAAAGGTGTATAAAAGGAGCCAAAAGGAGGATTCTAAGATTCAAATTGGCATAGGCTAGATAATATGGGTCCACATGGAGTTTTGAATAATTGGGAGCTTTTGTCAACTTTTATTTACTTTAATTATGCTATTAGGTAAGTATTGATAACCTCAATTATGGGGTAATCCAAGGATATTGCCTCAATTATGGGGTAATCCTCGAGTCAAATATTGATTACCTTATTTATAGGGTGATTACTTTTATTATGCTAGAGTCAAGTATTAATTACCTCAACCGGGGGTAATCGAAGGGTCATAAGATGATATAAAAGGGGTAGAATGTAATCTGGGTGACTCAGTCAATAAATGAATAAAAATATCTTTTAAGATTTCTTTGTGAGTGATTCACAAATTCTGAGGGAGTGAGGCCTTCCCTAGGTGTGATGCCTAGACCCTATTGGAGTGATTCCAATAGGTTTTTGTCTTTTTTTCAATCCTTTCTCTTCACTAATATCTTGAACCATAACTCTGATTATTTGAATTTCCAGCCACTTCTCCTTTGTTTTGCTAGCTTTCTACCATTGAACCTCCAAATTTCAGCCCTAGTTCTTTGACCTTTCAGCCTCTGAATTCTTAAGTTTTTAGCTATTCAAGGCTTCTCCCTTGTCCTACATCAGTTTTTGGTATCAGAGCCTAAGTAGACATTATGGCGAGGCACCATGGCAGATCCACCAATAGTGGATTCATGCAAAGAATTGTTATAAAAGGCCATTTGGAGACGCTACTGAAGATGAATTTTGGTCCTTATGAAGTGATTTCTTTCCTCTCTGTTGTTTTTGGATAAGTCTTGTGAAGTGATTTTGGAAGACAACAATTTTAGAATTACATGAATATGAGAGGTAACAGAGACACATGAGACCCTTACTTTATTCTTTATGCAACAAGAATATGCTGAAATTTTTTCGACCTAGGCTACTTAAAATTAGGAGTGTCAAAATAATAATTAAAAGTATATCCGAAAGAATAAATCCTAGCAGTATAGCTTTCAAGATCCGAGTCCTTGTTGGTTTAATATTCCTTCGTTTGTAGTATATTTTTCAATTACCTTCAGTACTTTGTGAGAGTTGTTTGGTGGATAAGGGGCATTTTTGGTGAAAGAAACATGTGCATGTGATTAATGGGCTCCAAAGAGAGAGTGTTTGGACTGGCATCATTCTTTTTATCTAACCATGTATGATTGAATATCAGCAAAGTTATAAAACATGGATTTGATGCCATCCTAATGAAGCACGTAGTACTGTTTATACAATAATAAATGATTAGATATTTGTTGAAGTGTTACGTTATAGGTTCAGGATTGTTTTCATTTGTCGATATCTATCCATTTCCTGTTATATTTGTGAAGATGGATTAATCTTTATAATGATTTGGGTTACAACTTGTCATTGATTCCATGTCACCCTTTTATGTGAATTTACTGTAAGGTTGCCTACTTGCCTTTTTAGGTTGCTTCACATTCTAGCATTATGTAGTATAACCTTGTACATATGTTCTTTTGGCAATGACAATTATATCCAACTAACATGGTATTGTAAATGTATATAGATATATGTATTACATATTTTGCGAAGTGTGTGCTTCTTAGTCACTTCTTTTTGGCACATTAGGGTATTCTTCCACAGGAAAGCTTCACAATATATCTTTGTTTTGATTGTTTGACATGTGTCGAGCAGTTTCTAGAATCTTTGGTGTCTGACACGTGCCTGACACGGGCATAGCTCCTGCTTAGAGATGTCCGTGCTAATCACTTCCTTTGGCACATAGGGTATATTTCCACAACAGACCTTGACAATATATCATTGCTTAGATGGTATATGATGTATTCTAATACCCAGTCTCTTGAAAGATTGCGTTGTGCATGATAAAATGGCACATCGTCTTTTTTCTTTTCCCTGGCAAGAAAACAATCACTAAGAGCAACGAAAGGACAAGCAGTCCCGGGAAGTGAGAACAAAGAAGTGAGCCAGGTGGGCTGAACATCCCACTGGACATCTCCAATTTTACACTGAAAAGCCCATTTAGCTAGCTTATGGGCAACAGAATTGCAGTGGCGAGGAGTCCAATAAGAGAAAAAGCTCTGCACTGCTGCTGAAGGATCCAAACGTCTTCCATAACAGTAAGAGCAGCTTCATCAGTATCCTTGAGGATATCTCATTTGAGTGTATTCAAGGCACGCAAACATTGAATTTTATATCACCAATCTTGTCAGTCGATTAAGCATAAGTTGCTGAGCTGTTTGATGTAGATTTTTTGGCTTTCTGGAACCAAATTAAGATGTTCTGGTTTAATGCTGAAGGCTGTCAAAGTAACATTAATAGGTACTTAAATTATCGTTGGTATACATTATTTTTTAACAGTACATGGTATACTGAAAGACGAGCTATAAACGGTACTCTATTGCTTGCTGCGGCCTTTTACTTTGTCTCTCATTTTTAAACTAAAAGCGAGGTTTAGAAGTGCTGCTTTTTTCCTTCTTTTTTTTTTTTTTTTTTGCAAGAGTTGTTTTTGCTTTCTTTCTCCCTCTTTTATGAGGATTACTCGCCTATTAATTGTTGGTCTTTCTCAGGGGCATAATACCCATCCAGTTTTCATTTTTGAAGTAATTTTTCTCTCTAAATCAACATAATTTCTGTTTATAAGCCATGACCTTATGTACTAGGCTTGTTAATTCATTTTGGCAGACTAAATCTGGCATCCAAATGGACTTGTTGACATCGTCTAACAATGGTAGTATACCTTGGGTAGCACCAGTACACAGGGCTACTAGGACAAGTTTGTTTCACCAGTCTGCAGCTGTACAAACTCTACCCAGCAGGTGCATTTCAACTATGCATGATTCAGTCAAATCTGTTGCAGAAGATACTTCAGCTCCCATCTCTGATATTTCTCCACGCATCAAATTTAAGAGGCTTGATAAAACAGCCAGGCACATAATGCAGGCATGCATCTTTTTTGTTGTCCTTAGTGGAATAGATGGATCACATATTTAAAGAGATTCTTATTGATTTTATGAATTGCAGATTCTTGATAAGGAAGCAGTGGTGGAAGTGAGAAAACAAAAAGAGATACCTGATATAAGGCCTGGTTATATCGTCCAGCTCAAAGTGGTATGAAAAAATTCCTATTGAGGGAAATTTTGTTGTTATTCACTGTTAATCAGAAGTATGTGCTCCAATAAGGGACATTTATTGACTGTTCTATGAAATCCTTTTGTACGAACAGGAAGCCCCTATGAATAAAAGGCGTGTTTCAATATTCAAAGGCACTATCATAGCAATGCGCAATGCAGGTCTAAATTCTACATTTAGATTGAGGCGGCTGGTGGCAGGAGTTGGTGTTGAATCTCTCTTCCCATTGTAAGTAAACTTGTAGTTGTTTTAATTTACTTGAAGTATGATTTATCAAAAAAAAAAAAAAAAATTTACTTGAAGTATGGTCTTTCAATACTTGTTAAATTGTATATTTATGCTTTGTTCGGTAGGAAGGAAGGAACAAACTTCTTTTGTTTGGTAGATATGATACAAGGATAGAAAGGATAATAGGAGGGATGTGTCATCCTTCCTTCTTTATAAATTTTCATCCATCCAAAAGTGGGCTGAAGAGAGTGGGGGAGAAAAGTGGACTATTATAGAAGATTTAAATTAAATGATATCCTAAATTGCACAAGTTTTAAATTACAGTATTATGCTCTATTAATTACAATATTATAGATATTACTGGGCATAATGGTAAAAGTAATTTAAAACTTTATCTTCTCTTCTCTCATAATGAACATAATAAATTATAAGTTTATTCTCTTCTCTTCCATCCAACTGAACAAAAAGAAGGAAAGACACAATTTCTTCCCTACGGATGTCTCATCCATCCATTCTTATCTCCCTTCCATCTAATTTTTTTCTTTCCTGAGCATTATTCTAATGGAAAGATATTTTTGATATTGGAGTTGTTTACAGAAAAAATTTCTCAGGAGAAGAACACGGTGTATTAGAACTTCCAAATCCAATACCCAATGATTCTAAATTCCAAATATACGAGTACATTTCAAGTTGATGCTAGCATTATTTAGATGACCAAGGACATGTTAATAGACAAATCTGGCTAGAGAATGCTTTTAATGGAAGTGGATATTGGTGTAAAGTTTGAATCTCTGAGGCTTGGACTTGGAAATGTTTCTTTTGCATATGTACGTAGATATGGAAGAATATGTTGAAATTACTATATCTTTTCAATTTGACTACCGATCTTTTTCCTATACATGCAAGGTACAATTGAGTAAGCTTGGGTGTGGGTATTCTACGGGGTGATATTTGGGTCCTTCTTTGCTGCTTATGCTTTAGATTTAAGGTTATCATCTTTGACTCATTCCTTCTCTAGGGGAACAGTGCAGGGCACTCTTTGGTCACACAAATTTAAACTGCAAAACCAGTAGGGTAGTTATTGCCACCCCCCCTTTGCAACCCCCCACCAATTGGCCACCCAAAAATTTGGCATTAGTGTATGGAGGATTGATGTCACGCTTAGAACCTGTCCCTAAATAATCTCAAACCTTGAGATCATCAAGTTGACTGCAGATAGGTCTTTGCGGACTCACATTATAATTGGATGTTTCGAAGCCTAGTCTATATTTCTGTTCTTCCTTTTTCCCCTTTCAGATGAACAATATGATCATTTGGGTAGTCACATTTTCATTTAGCATTTTATAATTTACATATAGCCTTGACACAATGGTAAGGTTGTTCCATTTTGATTGGGAGGTCACTGCTCGAAACTGGAAACATGCACTCCACATGTGGAGGTAAAGCTGCATGCATCTGCCCCTTCCTGGAGTCCGCATTGGTGGGAGCATCCTGCACTAGGCTAGCCCATTTTGTTTAAAAACCCTTTGTGGTTGTGAAATAGCCTAAAATCAACTGCTAAGCATCCCTTCTGTTTAAAGTGTATAAACAGAAGGGATGAATGATATGATCATTTAATATTATTTTTATGTACTTACCTGATTTGTTTTATTACTCGAGATTTTTTCCCCCTCTTTTGGTGGGTATTGTTGTGGTTGTCACCTGTTATCATCATCAGTTTCCACTGAATAGTGCTCCACAAGTTTGCTAAATGAGTGGGTTCTTGCAGGTACTCCCCTAACATAAAGGAGATAAAGGTGCTGGAGAAAAAGAGAGTAAGGAGGGCCAAGCTTTACTATCGCAGGAACAGTGTGAGTGAACGTAGAAAATAATAATAGCCCATATGGTTACTAGGCGACCCAAAGAAGTTTATTTTTATCAAATAGTTAGGGTTGGATCGCATTGGTGAGAAACTCTTTCCTTCAACTTACCCCCCGTTGGTTGATCAATTCTCATTTGTCTATCCTTTTTGTACTGCTTGGATCAGTCGTGATTGAAGCAAAAAGCTTGTCAAGCCATGAACATCACATTATGTTTCATTCCAAAATACTGCTGTTAAATAATTTTATGAGCTGTGTAATGAAAGAAGCTGTTGGTTTATTTTAGGTTATATGCAGAAAAATGGCACTTCATTGTAAACTACAAACTGAAAGCAGTGTAGTCACATAAGACATTTTCCATAGCTTTTCTAATGGAGATGTATGTGGCCATCTTTTCTTAGGAGCTATGACTATTGCGACGTGGACAATTATTTTTATGAGCCGTGCTGTTTGTTGTGACACCCGAGTTACTTGACGGCCCTAAGGGCTTATGTGGGCTCCACCACTCACACATGACCTTATGAGTAGTCGGCGACTCGGGCATGTGTGAGCCCCACCATCCGCTTCTGGCCGTGTGAGTAATATTAGGGTGTTACGTTTTTCGATTTTTATCACAACAAAACCTATTTTGTTCTCGTGAGGACTTGAATGTGAGGAAGTACCTCTATGCTTTATCTTTTGTTCAATGTCGGCAATCTTCAAATGTGGTTTAAGGCTCCAAGTTGCATTATTGGAGTCCATTGCCAATGGGGGTGCTAGATTGTTTCTTGTCCCTGATGATTACTCTTCCTATTATTTTATACGTAAAAATGTCATAGGTATTTTATCACGATGATGGAATGTGACTTGTTTAATTAGTTAAACATATGTATAATATAAAAAATGTAAGTGGAGTCTTTAACTCGAACAGCTTGCAAAAATCAATGCCTGCCTCGATTACGTTCTGCTGAAGTTGGTGTCTTTTCTATGCACTATTCCAAGTGAAAGCCAAGTTTATTAAATTTTAAAAGAATTAAGAATGTTTTAAGTAGTTTGGAAAGTCACCCAAAACTTTTGGGCCAAATGAAACTGAAAGGCCAAGTAAGGTATATAATTATAGGTATGAGATTCGGACCAATTGGAATTATTGGGAATGTGGCATATTCCAATGGGCATATGTAATTATTTAAATATTTTTGTCTTTTTTAATCAATGCTTAATATGGAAACAGTCCAATGTTAGTTTTGATCTTTTGATTTGTCTAATAAAAACATCTCCGATTAAAATACTCTTTTGTGTAAAATATACATTGTCACATATAATTTATAAATTTTTTTTTTTTTATCTCAAAGTTAAGATACACTGTTGTATTTTACACCATCTTTTTATACAGTCACATCAACATATTTCCTTTCTCCTTTCTATTTCTCATTCCATTAACGAAAAAATATACACAATGTTGGAATTACCCCGACTTAAAATCAACAGAGATAAAAATATGACTTGTTATTATAAAATTTCAACTTAAATAAGCATCATTCATATTTGTTTCAAAAAAATACATCAATTTCTCTTTCTTTATCTTCTTAGTTTTCCATAACTCCTTTTCTTATTTTTTCAGTTTTCGTATCATTTTCTTTTTTGTTTTTACAACAACTTTAATGGTAATCAAATATAAGAATTTGATTGGTACAAAATCTAAAACAACAACGGCAACATTTTTCAAATGTTCAATACTTTGCAAATTTTTTTTTAAATTTCTCTCTTTGTTTTTGTTTATGAAGTCCCATAGATCATTAGTTTTGATCATTATAGGCTATCTAATTATATATGAGAGATGCAATCTTAAGTATCTATGCCTTAGATAGATGCAATGTGATGTATATATAAAACACGTATTCAATTTGATATACATGGTAATTGAAACTTTAATTGCCAACAAAGATACTATATTAAAATCAAACCTAAAAAATAGACTACAAGTTACTAAATAGTTAATTACCTTATATTTTAAAATGAGTTTCATTATATTTGGCACATAGGTAGCCACATAGACTCGATGAAGTAGTAGGTTTTTATTTGTCGAGATAAAATAGCAGTACTCTATAATTTTTATCACATGTCTCATATATTTTCCTAATTTAGATGATGCCAACTTAAGAAAAAGCTATTGGGTGCGCCCAGTGCACCGGGCTCATCCGAGCCGCCAAGCACTGACCCAACACAGGACCAATGGGGGTGGATGCCCCCACTGTACTGTTATTTTATACCTCATTTTTTCTAGAATTTAAGAAGATGCCCTCACTAAAATTAAAATTCGCCCCACTGGATTACTTTTTTTTTTTTTTTTTTTGCATTTTATACTTCAAAATTTTTTGAGAATTTATGAAGATGGCCTTACTAAAATTACAATTTGCCCCACCCGCCTACTCGGGATGAAGACCCAGACGCTTGACGTGACACCGGATCATGGATTGGGTCGATACCAATTGTAACGGATGAGCGCTTATCTATTTACTCAAAAACTTAAAGTATTGGGTAGTACTACACTACTACATACCCACTTATTTATTTTTTCATTCGAATCTGATAGGGACAAGCTTTCCCTTGTAACGGTAGGCATCATGACATCACTATGACATTAGTAGTGAGCTCATGCCCCCACTCTCGCAACCCCATCGAAATCAGTAGATATATCTTTTTGCCTTTATTTAAATAATAATAATAAATAAATAAATAAATAAATAAAACTACTATAATTGACGACAATGCCAAACTTGATGAGACTCCACACACTCCTCTCTCTCAGTCAAGGGTGTGGCAATGTCATGCTTTTCTTTATCGTTTATCATATTGTGTACAAAGTGACAAATCCCAGGCATTGTTTACAAAAGGCATAAGCATTGTTTACAAAGGCAATGGATTATATTTGTGAACTTGAACTTTTGTAAATTTTAATTCGTTATACATGAAAAATAATTGAAAAAATCTTTTGGGTGACCACAAACACACACAGTTGCCATTTTGTGACTCTTGGGGCCATGAAAAATGTGGCTTAAAATATTAATTGGCAATTGTTGACATTGATTGTGGAATTAGTGACATTGATTGAGAGTGTTTATACATATATAAAGCTCTTATCATCATTTATCATAAAAGGAGTGTCGGTGACGAGAAATTATTTATTACATTCGTTGCAACGATGACGTGATGCAACAGATAACTATAAATACTATACCAAAATAAAGTAGACTTGTAATAGAACCAAAAAGTTAATATATGTTTTTTTGTAGTATTTGTAATCAGGGACGGAGCCAGTATAGGACCGGGGCACGTGCCCCTCCTGGATTCCTGGATTTTTTCCTTTCCCTTATTTTACATATATATATATATATATTTTTTTTTCCTATAATAGGTATATATTTTTTGAAAATGTGTAAAAGTGCCCCCTCAAATTTCTCCTTCTCTTGTATACTCTATATATTTCCATAAATTGTTTCATTATAATTTATTAATTTATCTTATTCTAAAAATATCAATTTCTATTCATATATATCCACATATTTCTCTTTATGTATATATATTCCATAAATATTAATTTATATGTATTTAATGCACAATGTGTCCCTCTTGAACAAAAATTCTGGCTCCGTCTTGCACAACAACAATTGCAATGAATAATTTTTCGTTGATCACATTGCGACAAATTAAAAATCGTTAGATTACTTGGCCCCACGTGAATTTCACAAGGAGATTAACGTGAATCAACAATGACCTTAACACATTATTTAGAAGGCTTTAAAATATAAACAATGACATTTAGACTTAAACTCTAACCGAGAAACCTAATCTGGAATACATTCGGTGAATAAAGTGGTTAACATTTCAAGGGATAGAAATCCCTACCCGTCCTAGTTAAAGTTTTCAGATTCGTTATCCTTAAGCTCGTGAGCATGATCCAACTAGAGCAAAAATTGTAGTACCAAAAACACAATTTCATGATTTGGTCATCTCCTTGCCCCATAATACAGCATTTACTCCATCTCTCTCTCTCGGGAGACTATTTGGTCATCAGTCTCTGTGTGCAAGTAGCAGAATAAATGAGGGTTTTTTTTATTTTTTTTGGTCAAAGATGGTGGTGTAGGCTATTTAGCACCCTATAATTCATCACACGTGCAACCCCTACTATCTCGCATGTCTTCTTTCTTTACCATTTCTTTTTGAGAAAATTACATATAAATGGAGTCAAAGTTCCATATTTACTTAGAAACTGAGTCAAAGTTCCATATTTCTCTAAAATGGATTACTAAGGTGGCACATAGTTTTTTACTGTTTAAAAAATTGTGGTGCCTAAAATGCCCTTCCCTAACAAAAAAGTAGTACATTCAGTTCAAAAAAGTAGTACCTTCAGTTCAAAAAAGTAGTACATCCAGTTCAAAAAAGTAGTACCTTCAGTTCAAAAAAGTAGTACCTTCGGAGAAAAAGTAGTACTTTCGCGGTGTTTAAAAAACATGGTACCTGGACGCCAAAAAGTAGTACCTTCAGTTCAAAAAAGTAGTACCTTCGAAGAAAAAGTAGTACCTTCGCGGAAGGGTATTTTAGGCACCACAATTTCTAAACGGTAAAAAACCATGTGCCACCTCAGCAATCCATTTTAGAGAAATATGGAACTTTGACTCAGCCTCTAAGTAAATATGGAACTTTAACTCCATTTATATGTAATTTTTCCTTTCTTTTTTAATCTTGTCAAACTAGGAGGGGGGAGGAGAGCTAGGCTCTCTACCAACTAAGTCATGAATAATATCCTTTCTTTGCCATTAACTTGCCAAGAAAAAAAGTAATCAGGACTTGGGGCATATGCTCCTTTAAAACTAGACAAGATAAGTTATATATGTGTTTTACAAAATTAAGCACGTCAATTTCTCTTAATGTTACTTTTTATACCGAACCGTCACTGCGAAACTTTTAGATCTTCTATTGTAACGAGTCTCTGATCCTTCCTATAGCATGTTGCGGAACCATCATTGTGAAGCATTTGGATCCTCTGTTGTATCGATTCTCTAGATCTTCTGTTGTAACAATTCTCTAGTTCCTCCTATAGCATGTGATGTGGAAATTTTCAACGCACTTTACTTATGTTTCAATATATCTATTAAATTTTAAAATAAAAGTATGTTGAAACATGTTTTAAAAATATATCATTATTTCTAATTTAAAATCTTTACTTCGTATTTTAACACATTCTTGAAATTTAAAACAAAAGTATTGAAATACGATTTAAATTCTTCAATAATCTCTACAGCATGGACCCTCTTCAGCAAACATTCAGACTCCATCTCGAAAGGTTTGATGACACTTAAAAACCCTCTTAATACACACTGGCACTTGTTTAGTGGGAGATAGATGACATGACATGGCACTAGTTTAATGGGAAATGAATGACATGACATGCCACCTCATCAAATTTCTTATTATTATTATTATTTTTTTGGATAAATAACTTCGTCAAAGTTCCCTTATATATTCACTTGACAAGTCTATCTCCTCTGAACAATTATAGGACAACATAAAAATCCTTAACAAAAGGCTTTTACACAATGTTTCATCTTTTCATACAAATATATGTACAAAACATATTTCATTTACCTCTTTTATGCCAAAAAAAAGAAAATCTAGGTCTTCTTTTATTTACGAGATCCTGTGCACTTGATTATCCTATGTATTGATGCAACACATCTACCCTACAAAATGTAATATTCATGAGACGCATTTATATCAAAGATATAATATTCATCTAACACATTATATTATGTTGAAACATCGTACCACTATGAAATTGAGAATTTAACACATTTACGTATTTGTTGCATTATTATTTTAAAATTGTTACATTCACAATTTTAAGTTGTTACATTAAAAATAGAACAAACATAACTAAATATAATGCCCACTATAATTTGTTATTTCATCTTTGCAACTTGACAATTTAAAACAAACTTTTGAAGTACTTAAATACTCACACTAGAAGACCACATTTCCTTTACAGGGTGCCCAAAAATTAATTTTACATTTTGAAAAGTCAAACAAAATAAATATAATCTTTTATAGTTACCCTTTATTGTAATTTGGTATTATATATATTTAAGAATATTGCTATCAGTCTTATAATGACAAGATACATGAGCCCTCTTTATTTACATATGAAATTAAGATAGTTTATTAAAATTCGTGAAAAGTTAAATGAACTATTTAATGAGCCAGTTAATTCATTAGTTATGAAAAAAAAAAAAAAATTTATTATGAGATTGTTCTCTGATAACATTATTGTTATATAAAATTAAAATGACAACTTAATAATTTAAGAATAGACCCTTAAAAAGTTACAAGTTAAAATATGGAATGGAGGAGGATTTAATGGATAATTATAGAAAAATTCAAAATCCCCATACTCAAAAAATCATAAAACATCTCAAATATGTTTTTATACATGGTATGCCTACTATTTGATTGCAGTGTTACACATGGTATGCACACAACACAAAATAGAAACATTCCATTTTCAACAATTATTATTTATTATTTATTTTTTTTCTTCTTTGATCCTAATTCAATCATTATGCACACATAGACGTGTGTGTAATTCACACATATAGAAAGGGAGCCTGACTCACACACATGCCCGTGCGAATGAGTTTGGTTATTCAATTCAGTTTGCAGATGCGGCCAAATTTGACTTTATTTATTTTTTATTTTTTATTTTTTCTTAATAATTTATGAGATTAGAGAAATAGAAACAAAATCAGGAAGAGGGGGTCAGTAGATCAGTCACAGTCATAGCTGATTCGCCTAGCGTTCTTACGTTTCTGGATATACATATATATACAAATACACATACACACACACAAACATTTACGCCTCCAAGCCCTTCTTTCGAACGTTTCACGTTTCTCGTTTCTCGTTTATGCTCTTCTTCTCTATCAACCCTTGAATCCACTAGTTTATACACATATATAAACACACACACACACACACATATATATATTAATTTATTTATGTATTCATATCTTGTTCGTGTTGGTATTTGTATCAATTTCCTCAAGTTGATACTGGTCACGATCCGCCAAATTGTGAAAAACAATTAATAACTGTTCGAATTGTGTGTCAATTCAAATTGTGAATTTGATCTGAATTATACATAAATAAAAAAAAGAATTAGGGTTTTCAATTCTTTGGAGAATGCCACAGGACTGTTCGTCGGAACTAGAGCCAGACGACTCTGATGCTGAGTTTGTTGAAATCGATCCTTCTGGTCGGTATGGTCGGGTCAGTATATGCATAACTTGTATGTATTTATGAATTCAGATTATCATTCCTGTGTTTTGCTTGAAATATAACTAATGATTTATGACATTTTTTTTATTGCTATTAGTCTATTTTATTATTATTTTTTTGAAGTTATATTAGTATTTGGAACCATTGTTGGAAATGTGAGTTTATTGGTGATTAAATCTGCAGTATAAAGAAATTCTAGGCAAAGGGGCTTTCAAGAAAGTGTATCCTTTGATGGGTTTTTATTTTATTGTCATTTTACGTTTTAGAGCAGTAGGATATGCATTTGAGACATAAATTGTATGTAGAATTATTGTTTTCTATCCTTGATGAGTTGTGGGTATTTAGATATAGAGCATTTGATGAATTGGAAGGAATTGAAGTAGCTTGGAATCAAGTTAAAGTTGCTGATCTCTTACGGAATTCGGAGGATTTGGAGCGTCTGTACTCAGAAGTTCATTTGCTTCAAACTCTCAAGCACAAGAACATTATTAAATTTTATAATTCATGGGTGGACACGAAAAGTGAGAATATTAACTTCATCACCGAGATTTTCACTTCTGGGACATTGCGGCAGTATGTTTTCTTATAATACTTTGTTTTTCATATAAATTAATGTTAAATTTCGTTTGTGGTATTGGTGGTTGATTCATTTGTATACACTGTGAATAGGTATCGTCAGAAGCATAAGCATGTTGACTTGAGAGCATTGAAGAAATGGTCTCGGCAGATCTTAGAAGGACTTTTCTATCTTCACGGCCATGATCCTCCGGTTATTCATCGGGATCTAAAGTGTGACAATATTTTTATTAATGGAAATCAAGGCGAGGTGAAAATTGGTGACTTAGGACTTGCAGCCATTCTTCGCCAGGCTCGTTCAGCTCACAGTGTCATTGGTGAGCACTTCTGTTATTTTATTCTCTTTTTTGGTTTTGTTTTTTGAAGTTGAATTACCGTACATGACTGCAAGTGGAGGAAACAATGTAATTGTTATTAAATATCAGGTACTCCAGAGTTCATGGCACCAGAGCTTTACGAGGAGGAATACAATGAGCTTGTAGATATTTATGCCTTCGGTATGTGTTTGCTGGAATTGGTGACCTTTGAGTATCCATATGCTGAATGTGCCAATGCTGCTCAAATATACAAGAAAGTGACATCTGTAAGGCATTCATGACTCCTTGGTCCATTATATTTGACCCATTTGTCTCTTTTACTTGCCTGCTCCATAATATTCGACTGTCTCTTGTCAAAGAAGACGTTTTGACATTTGAAAGTCCTAATAACTCCTGCTCAACTGGTCAAGATTCATCATCAGTTATCCTTATGTTATGCGAATCTTCTTTTGATAATTGATGCTAGATCTATCTTTTCATTAATCATTTGAATGACAATACGCCACCAGGCACCAGAATGCTTATGTATACTCAAAATTCTACAGCTCAACTCAACCCATCCCAACGAAGCAATTTCCCACTACGTAGTCAAGATTCTATCTGTGGACTAAATGATGGCCTTTTAATTTCATGCTAATCATTTATGTGCCTGGTAGATTGACTTCCATTATATCATTTAATTGTTTTATAACCCAATTCTGTTTCAGTACTTTTAGCTGAAGTGGAGGGATTTAATCACCAGCTGGATGGAATTCAGATTTCTTATTGTCCTTTTCTTTTCTTTTATGATTTTGTTTTAAGAAATCTCAAAAAATCCCCCTGAATGTAAATTCGTTACGTATTAAGAGAATTTCCATTTTGTTTGTTCCCCTTTAAGAAAACTAAAGTGTACATATATATATATATATATATATGAGATGCACTGGCATTTAATATTAAGTTTAATACCATTATGATCTTTATGTTGAGTAATATGCGCTAGAAAAATCATAAAACTTCTACTTCACAATCAACTTTTAGCTGATAAACAAGAATCATGTTGTAATGAAAATCTGCTTAATTTTTTAAAAGTGTTGCAATTGGCACCTACCGCCATTTCAATGCTAATAAAAGAATCAAAGTCATCTGTATTTTATTTCTCTGAATCAAAGTCATTTTTATTGCATGTGATGTTTTTGAAATGTTATGACTATTATATGTGACCATTATCTCCTTGACCCATTAGTGATGAACCAATTTGTGGGGCTAATGAAATTAAAAATTCTACTTCATCGCTTGTAAAATTAATATCTGTCTTCTATGTCTCTCTACTTTCTCTTACCTCTATTTCCACCACCATCATTGTGTCATAACCTCAACCACCACCCAACAGGCCTTCCCTCTCTCATCGTACTACTTGGAATCCCACTCTTGACCCCTTTCTCTATAAATATCTGTATAATTTAATAATGTAAACAATTTCTAACTAGAAAACAAACTAATCGATTTTCCTTTGGGGATAGCCATGCTCAAATGGGAACTCTTCGAGGGTGATGGAATTGGGGGATGGCCATGGACCCTGGACTCTTTTATTACTCTATTTGCATGGTAATGTGGAGTTCCCCTCTAATTTGAATTGCACAACAATATTCAAGTGATCTCTTGTGTGTGTCTGTATAAACATATTAGGATATGAATAACTCAACAAGAAGGATAAATAAAATGGTCAAGTCATGGTGAAATGGGCAAGTCATGGGTGGGCCTTTCCATTATTTTTTTTTTCCATTTTTAATATTATCGACCAGTGGTATAATTTCACAACTAACAACATTTAAGTGCTCTTGTGTGTGTAAACATATTAGGATATAAAGGACTGAACAAGAACAAGGATAGGCCATTGTGAAATGGGCAAGTCATGGATGGGCCTTTCCATTATCTTTTTTCCATTTTTAATATTATTGCTATGTGCTATAATTTTATAGGATGGGTATATTGTTAAAAGAATTAGAACACTTTAGAAAATTGTGCACCTGTACTAATGGTAACCTGACATTGTGGTCCAAATTGCAAGTTTTTTTTTATGTTTTTTTGTTGAGGTCAAAGGGTTACATGCAGAAAATTAATAGTTCAAGGCTTTCCCCAACCCCATTTTGACTTATATATTTATTTGAACAACGAAAATGTAGTTTGCATGTTTCAAGTTGCTTTTAACGGCCACATAACGACTAATGTTGAGGTCTGATTTGCTCACTTTTGTTAGTTCGGGTAGTAAGTGGAATATTGCAAAGAATCTATTGTTTAGGCAAGTTTTATGCATTTGTTTTTTTAATATCATTTGTTTTATGTCATCAATGATGACTAGGATGCTAATCACTGTAACAATAGTACTAATAAGATATTAAAAAAAATAATAATAAAGTAATTAAAAATAATAAAATAATAAAGCAAAGAATCTATTGTTTGGCACCCCTGGTTATGTGCTTGCAGGCAGATTGCGTCTCTTGAAGGAGAATCTTAAGACTTGGAATAAAGAGGTCTTTGGGAATCTGGAATGGAGAAAAATCGGGTTCTTGCTGAGATTGTGGTTATAGACCAGATGGAGGGTCAAGGGGATTTGGTGGAAGCTTTGAAGGTTAGGAGGGCGAAGTGCAAGGCAGAGTTCACTGAGATTGCAATCATGGAGGAGATCTCGTGGAGGCAAAAATCTCGAGCTTTGTGGCTTAAGGAAGGGGATAGAAACACAAAAAATTTCCACAGATTGGCCAATGCTCATAGAAGAGGCAATCATATAGGGAGGATTCGGGTTGAGGGGGTTATTTTTTGTAAGGAGGAGGAGATCTGCAAAGGATTTTCAGAGTTTTTTAACAAGTTCACAGAGACTGTTAAGTGGAGACCTTTGCTTAAAGGGATGCAGTTTGACTCTATTTCTGAGGAGGAGTGCTTGGGCTTGGAGTTGCCTTTTTCTGAGGAGGAAGTTCTGATGGCTTTGAAGAGTTGCAATGAAGATAAAGCCCTAAGTCCAGATGGATTTACCTTGAGATTTCTTCTTAAGTGCTGGGAGGTGGTTAAAAGGGGAGGTGATGGGCACTTTTCATGCTTTCCATTCTCCGGGATCTTATGAGAAAAGCTTGAATGCCACGTTCATTGCTCTCATTCCAAAAGAAAAGGGGGGGGGGGGGGGGGGGGGGACTTTAGATTGCGTAGTGGGGTCCCGAGTGTTCTTTGTAAGTTGGACATTGAGAAGGCGTATGATCATGTGAGTTGGAGCTTCCTTCTTTACCTGATGGAGAGGATAGGGTTCGGTGATAGGTGGAGGAGATGGATGCATTTTTGTATTTCCAGTGCTCGCTTTTCGATCCTTGTTAATGGTGCTCCTACCGATTTTTTCTCTAGCTCAAGGGGCTTGAGACAGGGGGATCCTCTCTCCCCCTTCTTGTTCTTGTTTGTGATGGAGGCCCTTAGTAGATTGAAGAAAAGGGCTACTGAGTTGGGTCTTTTGAGGGGCTTTCGGTGGGCAGGGATGCTGTTTCTCAGTTGGAGATCTCTCATTTGATGTTTGCTGATGACACTTTAGTTCTTTGTGATGCGAATGTGTCCCAGATCAGATATCTAAGATGTGTTTTGATTTGGTTCCAAGTTGTCTCCGGCCTTAAGGTGAATGTGGGCAAGAGTGTTTTGGTGCCGGTTGGGGAGGTCCCTGAGATTGAGGCTTTTGCTGACATTCTTGGTTGTCGTACTGGTTCATTTTCCATTTATTACTTAGGTTTGCCTCTAGGTGCTCCTTCGAGGTGTGTGGGGATTTGGGACCCAGTGGTGGATAGATTTGAGAGTAGGTTGGCCGGTTGGAAGAAGAAGTATCTTTCTAAGGGCGGTAGGGTCACTCTGATTAAGAGCACCCTCTCTTGCCTTCCCACTTATTTTATCTCTCTTTTTCAGATTCCCTCTTCAGTTGCGGAGAGGATTGAGAGGTTGCAGTGTAATTTTTTGTTGGGGGGGTAGAGGTGAAGAGTTTTAAGTTTCATTTGGTGCGATGGGAACAGGTTTGTAGGCCAATTCGGAATGGTGGGTTGGGTCTCCGTAGATTGGTGCCTTTTAATAAGGCCCTCATTGGGAAATGGTTGTGGAGGTTTGGTGTGGAGAGACATTGGCTTTGGAGAAGGATTGTGGCTTGTCGTTTTGGGGAGATGAGGGGAGGGTGGAGTTCTCTGGAAGTAAGGGATCCTCGGGGGGGTGGGGGTCTAGAAATTTATTCGAAAGGGTTGGGATGAATTTTCTATACACATTCGGTTTCGTCTTAGAGATGGGAGGAGGATTTGTTTTTGGGAGGATGTGTGGTGTGGTGATGTTCCTCTCGCTCTCTCTTTTCCTCAGCTTCATAGGATTGCTTCGGATAGGCAGGCCATGGTGGTTAACTGTTATCATCTTGATAATGGGAGACTGGTTTGGGATGTTCGATTCAAGCGTTTTTTTCAGGATTGGGAGATCGAGACTATTCGTTTCTTGGAGCTGTTGTATCGCCAGAGGATTGTGGAGGAGGATTCGGATTGTTGGTCTTGGGTTGCAAACTCCCAGGGCCGTTTTGAGGTGAGGTCTTTCTTCAGGTGTCTCTCGTTTGATCCTGGAGTTCGTTTCCCTTGGAAGTCTGTTTGGCGTTCTAAGGCTCCTCTCAAGGTGGCTTTCTTTGTGTGGACTTCGGTTTTGGGTAGGATCTTAACCCAGGATAATTTGAGAAGGAGAAGCCAGGTGGTGGTCAATCGTTGTTGTATGTGTCTTCGTGATGAGGAATCAATGGATCACTTTCTCATTCATTGCTCTTTGGCTAGAGAGTGTTGGGATTTGATGCTTGGCTTATTTAGGTTTTCTTAGGTTATGCCAGGATCCGCTAGAGGGTTGATTGAGGCGTGGAGAGGTTGCCTTGTGGGGGCTCATAGTCAGGATGCGTGGGGGGCTATGCCGCTTTGTGTGTGGTGGTGTATTTGGTTTGAAAGAAATAGGAGATATTTTGAAGGAAAGACGATGTCGATTTCGATGCTTAAATTCTCGATTCTTTCCACTCTTTTTTATTGGGTTTCAGGGAGAGATCATAGATTGTTGGAGGAGATTGTTGACTTTTTGGCCTCCTTGAAGGTTTGAGGCCTTTGTAGTCTTTTGTTTTTTCTTGGGATCCGCTCCCCTCTTAAGCGTTTTTTAATAAAATTTTATTTATATAAAAAAAGATAATGAAAGAATGATCCCGAATTTTTCATACTCTTGACGTCGTCAAAGTGAATAACATTAATTGTCACTTGGGAATGACCATCAATGGACACATTTATATATATGGACATGGGAATACTAACATGATCGAAGTGAAACAGGTGTGGTGCGAGACACCTGATTAAGCTCCAAAGTGTACCCCCAGTCTATGACTTATAAGGACTTACTCTCTACGTTTAAGTCTTGTAGCCAGCACAAAACCATGAGAAGTTCCTCTCGACTGATAAAAATCGATGATTCATGGCAGTTTTGGAGGAAATTTTTACTACGAATAAACCTAGAAGCTAACTGGAATTCCTTTGTACAGAGAAACTTCAAAGAAGACTGAAGCCCCCTGAGATGTTCCTCTCTATGGATAAACTTTGAGGATGATCCAAGATTGTCAAAGAGTTCCCTTCTATGCCTGCATCTCGACGAACTAGATAGCGAGAGATGCTGACAAATCAAAGGCAAAATTTGTAGGGACTTTTTGAAGGGTTCTTCAGAAATTCTAGGATCTGTTGGGTTAGGCGGTTTAGATTCAGGGATCGTTGAGGAGTTACTCTACCAAGAGTGCTGACTTCCCTTGACCTGTCACGAAGGAAGAGAGAGTAGGATAATTCTTCTAATGGAGCCATCTCATTTACATTAAATCCACCCTTGACATCTGTTCTTCCTTTAACCCAATGAGGCTTGCCAATTTACCTCGAGTCCTTAATATCTGTTCAGTCATCTAATCTATGTAAACATGCCTAAGGACAAGAACGATTTGCTTTTAAATAATGGTCTTTACCCAACAGAGAGTATTAAAAGAGTATATAAGAAATTAATAAGGTAGGTTGAGTAGTAGAAAGAAAGAAAAGTATATCGTCGAGAAAAGTATATCGTCGAGAAACCTTTCCTTAGCTAAAAGATTGGTTACAAACTAAAGATATGGGATAGCACTTAATCACCACCATATGGAGGATTATCTAAGGGGAATCTGGCCCCCTCCTCCTCTCAAGTCTCGTTCTTGGAGGTTCATTGTGACAGCCTGGACCTCCACCTAGCCTTTTATCTACTATTAATTTCACATTGTTTAAAGTGATTCCTCATATCATTACTATATAAACACATGTTGTCTAGAGGCATGCTTTTTTTGTTTTTGCATGTCCTGTGATTTCTCAAATGTTTCTACGTTATAGCTGAAAATTTGATCTTCATTGTGAAATCAATAAATCTAATACTCCTTCCGCCCCAAAATAAGTGTCATATTTTCCTTTTGTGTAATGTCCCAAAATAAAAGTAAACTTTCCTTTTTGGAATATTCCAAATTTTAACTTTTCTAAATTATCTATAGGGTTTGAAACTTTAGTCAAATTAATAAAGTAAATTTTATACTTGAAATATTACTTTATCAAAAAAAGAAAGTAAATTTTATACTTGTTGGGTTAGTTTTTCTATTTTTTACAGGCGGAGGGAGTAGTTGAAGTCTACTTGGCATGAAATCATAATAATATTGGTGCCAGAAAGGTTAAAAGTTGATATAAAACCAAAACAGTCATTCTGCATTTATCTAATTTTAACCTTGGTGATGATGATGACGATGATTTACTTTTAACCATGGTGCAGCATTTATTTACATTTAATACTAGTCATTTTGTTTTTCATTAGCTGATTCTGGTTAATGCTATGATTTATGTTGCCAAATTGCCACCCCAAAATTTTGAACAAATATGCTTTCTGGAGTTTTAATTGGGTAAATGTTTCACAAAACTTCAAAGACAGATGTACTTTGCACTATTAGAATGGGATTTTGAGTTATTCTTTTCCTTTTCTTTTAAGTAGGGAATCAAGCCAGCATCATTGATGAAGGTGAAGGATCCTGGAGTCAAGGAATTTATTGAAAAATGTATAGCAAATTTCTCTGATCGGTTGTCTGCCAAGGAACTTTTAGTGGATCCTTTTCTCAAGCCAGATGAGGATAATGGAGTTTTAGGTCGGCCCTTGCAACCCCATCCTCATCATGCAGGTAAATTTAATTTGTAAAGCAATTGCAAAACCCCAAAAGCCTTTGTTGTTTTGTCCCAGTTTCTGAAACAACAAATTTACAGGTGATAGTCATGACCAATTCAGCATTGGTAAAGCAACCAAGGACTCTGTGCCTGAGGGAAGTCGAGACTTCATGGTGCAAGGTCAAAGGAAATATCTCAATACAATATTTCTAAAGCTACGAATAGCAGATTCGACAGGTTGTCTGTTGTTTCTCGTTTCTCTATTTCTTTTCAGTTACTTGATTCTCATTCCAAGAAAATATCTGCTTATTAGCATTCATAAATCTTGTAACTGAAATTTGCCACCTTGCCCAGGTCATTTCCGGAATATCCACTTCCCATTTGATATTGAGGTTGATACGGCAATTGCTGTTGCTAGTGAAATGGTTGAAGAGCTGGACCTGTCAGATCAAGATGTATCAACCATTGCTGAGATGATCGACTCCGAGATACGTACCTATATTCCAGATTGGGCGCCTAAAGAACTTTCAGGAGATAATGATGGTTGTGAAGTAGTTTCTGATGGCTCTGCCTCTGTGACTCAGGATGACTTCGCTTCTCCCCTGACAAATAAGTCTGCCCCTTCTAGTAGTCTTGTATTGGAACGATTGCCTTCAGGTCGGAAGTTTTGGTCTGATTCACCCAAAGCAGGTGATGGAAACTCTCCAGGTAAACTTGGCCCTTCAAATTTATCCCAAACAGATTTGGGGACCCCTCTAGATAGCTGGACTGAAGACAATGAAGAATCACCTTTTACCTGTAGAGATGGGGACAGTTCAAATGATCCTGCTTCACTCGAGCAAACTCAGGATGATCATGTGCTCGAAACTTATGTGTCTGCTGATACACAATTGGATGAATATAGTGGAATTTCAGATCCATGTTCCAGCAGTGGGCCTCCTCTCTTGGAAGGAAAAGATCAAATATTGAGGGACACCAACTCAGATGATGTCAGAATCATTATGGAGAAACTTGAGCATCTGTTGGTTGAGCAGCATAGGGAGCTAGATGAACTTAAACGGAAGCATGAATTAGCTGTATCAAATCTTTTGAAGGAACTTCCTCCAGAAATTCATCGCAAAGTTATTAACGTTTGTAACCTAAAGAGATCTGGCTATAGAATGCTGTGAGGCACGATGCTTCTCTGGAAATTATATTGACGCAGGCTCCTTACACATATGTAAAGTTGCTGTCTCACAACTAAGCTGTGGTAATAATTTGGGTAGTTCTTTGATTGCGCCAATTGTCTTAGTCACCCTAAAAGGTTTGAAGATATTCCGGAAAGCTCAAACATTTACAGACTGCTGGGAAGGTGGGAAGCCGGAGTCAGTAGCTGAAAATTGCATCGCTGGAGCTGTCTTCAAAGACAGGTTAATCACTGTGAAAAATATCGGATTTGGAACGGGGGTATTGCTTATTTTCGAGAGAGGGGCATTATCATAGCTCAGGGAGGAATCAGTACAACATTCTTTGCGATGAAGTAGGTGGATTATACTATGCTGCTGATTTGAGATACTTGCTGGACGATTGTGAATATCTGCAACACAAGTTTTGCCAATGCGTAAAGAATTTTTTACTTGTCATCGGTACGCAAGTGCAACATGTTTTGTATGTCCTGATATAGTTTATGTGAATCTTAAATTCGAAAATGTGTATACTTGAACATGGGTACATAATTTGTGTATAGGTTGATTGTTTTAGAATTATGCCTGCTGAGGTTATAACCTAAATCGCGTCTTTCAATTTAGTGGATTCATTGGGATGTTTATACTCCAAATCTGCAGGATTAATCGTTTTTCTCTCATGTATAATGCACATGCTGTCCAAACAAAATGTGTGGGGATATGCTGTGCTTGTGTACTCGTGGAGCCGGATCCTTTGTAGGCACGGCACCATGCCATAAGTGCGCTCAACATAATTAAATTGGGTTGAAATTAAATTTAATTGTGTTTAAGTAATATGTCGAAACACAATTTGATTGGGTTGAGCGCATATAATTAAATCGGGTTGAAATTAAACTTAATTGTGTTTAAGTAATATGTCAAAACACGATTTGATTGGGTTGAGCGCATACAACACACTACATAAGAGAACCCGTTACAGTAAAGGATCTAAATGTGCACTCATGAGACTTACATGTGGGTGTGAAAGCTTTCAATGCACATGTGAGAGAGAGAGATAGAGAGAGGGTATGTGCAGAAGTTGAACGGTAGGGTATTATGTGCACAAGTTGAACTTCCTTTTATTTTATTATTATAGTAATTTAAATATGATTATGTGTACGAACGAGTTTGGATGTAATGTGTTGAAATACGATTTAATTGTATTCAACGCACACAATATACTATAATAGAGAATCGAATTCAACATTCTCGTTATAACAGAAAATTCAGACTCTTAACGTGCCCACATAAATGGAGTGAATTTAACATTATCGTTATTATAGAGAATTCAAACTCCGCGTGCGTACACAAGGGAGGGGGATGTACCCCAAACCCATGACAGGGGAGTAGGAAGTGATGGAGAGTTTCAAATTAGAGGGATGAAGGCTGGGAGAAAATGCCCATGATGGGGCCTCTTTATCCTCGAATTAGAGTACCTGAAGCAAATACGTGCCAGAAACAGAGACTCACCTTTGTGGACTAATGTAAATCACAATCAATCACTTTCTTTTCCATTAGCCACAATAAAGTGACCTTCATGACATTATGTACCGTGACCAAAATAAGTGTTGAACCTACTTATTATACACTAAAGGTGAAATAAACACCACAAATAAGTGTGGTGTGAATGGATCACAAGGACCTCCTTAATTGTTTGGTCCACCCTCCACTAGCACAGATAAATTTCATTACTCTAAATAACACTAGCTTTCACCACATCACTGCAAAAGTGGACAGTGTTAACCAAGAAATAGGCAGCTTTCCCCACAAGTTGGACCGATAATTATGGTTTTTTTTTTTTTTTTTTTTTTTTTTTTTTTTTTTTTTTTTGTGATAAAAATGTTAAGATTTAATGGTTAGAAGAAAGGGTGCAAGACTTGAACACGAACTCTCTTACAGGGAACTACTCAACTCCTAAAACAACACGACACTTGTATAGTATAATTTAAATGAGTACATTCTTTATATTTATCTCACTAATTTACAGTCTAATCTAATGATTTAAAAAAAAGCAACTTAGACCAAATTAGGTTTACCATCAATTTCTCCTTTCAAGACTCCTTGTAAGCTTAGATATGCACGTCAGAATGTTGAATTATATACTAAAATAAATGAAAACAAAATAGGGTTGTAAGTTCTGCGTGTTAATCAAAATTTAACGAAGACCAATCTGAATTTAGACAATCATTTTTATAATTAGAGTTGAACTTTGATTTAAGTATCAACAACTAGAGCCAAAGCCGAATCAAATTCTATATTAAAATAATAATAATAATAAATAAATAAATAATAAAAAATTATGTATTTCTTAAGTTTAAATATTACATATATATATGTATATATTTCGAATTATAATCACCATCTTCTTCTCAATTTCTTTTTGTTTGAATCTTAATTTATTGTATATAAATATTTTGGAGAATTAATTCCTTAAGAATTTGTTTTTAATTTTTAGAAATTTACATTTAGTTCTTAAAAAAATTTATGCCACATAAGTAATTTAAGGTTAAACTAACTCGAAAGACAAAAACAACTTGGTATTTATCCTGATTTCTTTAACCTGAGAATAAATTAAAACCAGTGGGGTGTGATTCTATTTTGTAGCTGGAATATGAAACTGTAATTACCCAAACAACCCCATTAGCCTACGTGTCACCATATGAGTCAATTGCACAGAAATTTGATGACACCACCACCAGCCTACTTATCTAAGAGGTAGAAATGGATAAAACCCCATACGAGAGGCCTCCTTTGAGTCTGGCCGGAGATAATACACAAGCCCTTCAATCTCCTCAACCACCCATCTCTTCTCCACTCCCAACTCATACTTACTCTCTCTAAAAACCCTCTCTTTCTCTCTCTAGAGCCCCATACCAAAATCACCATGGCAGTTTCAACAGCCACAGCTCCATCAAAACTCATATCCCCATACTCTCCCCCCTCTTCAGCTTCATCATCCCAGTCAATTTCACTCTCAAATCTCACTTTTCACTCAAAACCCACAAAGCTAACACTCTCTTCTTCCTTCATCACCACTCCTTCCACCATATTCCTTCAATCCCCCACCACCACCACCACCTCCACCGCCGTCCGCCACCGTCGCTCTCTCACCGTCCGAGCAGCAAGAGGCAAATTCGAGCGGAAGAAGCCCCATGTCAACATCGGCACCATCGGACACGTCGACCACGGCAAGACCACCCTCACTGCCGCCCTCACCATGGCCCTAGCCTCCATGGGGAACAGTGCCCCCAAGAAGTACGACGAGATCGACGCCGCGCCGGAGGAACGCGCCCGTGGTATCACCATCAACACCGCCACCGTCGAGTACGAGACCGAGAACCGCCACTACGCCCACGTGGACTGCCCCGGACACGCAGATTATGTGAAGAACATGATCACTGGCGCCGCCCAGATGGACGGAGCCATCCTCGTCGTCTCCGGCGCGGACGGCCCCATGCCCCAGACCAAAGAGCACATCCTGTTGGCCAAACAGGTCGGAGTCCCCAACATGGTCGTCTTCCTGAACAAACAGGACCAAGTAGATGATGAGGAATTGCTTCAATTGGTCGAATTGGAGGTTCGTGAGCTCTTATCTTCATATGAATTTCCTGGTGATGATGTACCCATTATTTCTGGTTCTGCATTGTTAGCATTAGAAGCTTTGATGGCAAACCCTCTCTTGAAAAGGGGTGAAAATGAATGGGTCGATAAGATTTATGAATTAATGGATTCTGTTGATAGTTATATACCAATTCCTCAACGCCAAACTGAGCTTCCATTTCTCCTCGCCGTCGAGGATGTGTTTTCGATCACCGGTCGTGGCACGGTGGCCACGGGCCGTGTCGAGAGGGGTACTGTTAAGGTAGGAGAGACCATTGATATTGTGGGTTTGAGAGACACACGAAACACTACTGTAACTGGGGTTGAGATGTTTCAGAAAATTCTGGATGAGGCAATGGCTGGGGATAATGTGGGTTTGTTGTTGAGAGGTATTCAGAAGATTGATATACAGAGAGGGATGGTGTTGGCAAAGCCTGGAAGTATCACACCACACACAAAGTTTGAAGCCATTGTGTATGTGTTGAAGAAGGAGGAGGGTGGAAGGCACTCCCCATTTTTCGCGGGTTATAGGCCGCAGTTTTACATGAGGACTACTGATGTGACTGGGAAGGTTACTTCTATCATGAATGATAAAGATGAGGAGTCAAAGATGGTTATGCCCGGTGATAGGGTCAAGATGGTTGTTGAACTTATAATGCCGGTGGCTTGCGAGCAAGGGATGAGGTTTGCCATTAGAGAAGGGGGAAAGACTGTTGGTGCAGGTGTTATCCAGTCCATTATTGAGTGATAACATGACTTGATGCTCTTCACTTTTGGTTGGTTTGATGGTTTCATATATATCCTTCACTTTATGAAATTGTTTTGCCCATTTACCAGACATCATGAATCCAATGTCATATATTTTGCGGTTTTGCTGTTACTTTTGCTGTGTGTTAATGTCGTAGTTTAGTTGGACAATATTCTTGTGATCATTGTTTATTCTGTTGTTGAACTAATTATAGTCTAGTTATCAGAACTTTTACCAGACATCATGAATCCAATGTCATATATTTTGCGGTTTTGCTGTTACTTTTGCTGTGTGTTAATGTCTTAGTTTAGTTGGACAATATTCTTGTGATCATTGTTTATTCTATTGTTGAACTAATTATAGTCTAGTTATCAGAACTTTGCCTGCAGAAATGAGAGAGTTTTGCAACTATGCCTAGATTTTGCTGTTACTTTTCTTATGTGCTAGTTTAGTTGGACAATATTCTTGTGATCATTGTTGAACTATTTATAGTCGAGTTATCAGAAATTTGCTTCCTTGCAGAAATGAGAAGGTTTTGCAACTACTTTGTGATTCTAACTCAAACAATTCTGGGCAGAGTTTTGACAATGATGTGATAGTGTTTCATATTTGTTGGGTGCTTGCATTAAGCAAGCACTTTATTAAGGCTATGAAATTTATGTCATAACTCCTTTGTGATTCTGTCTTCTTTCCGCTTCAACTATAAATCCTTAAATTGGTGGACTTGGAGCCAATATATCTAACAAGTGTCATTTCCATGAAGTTGGAAATGAAAGTTCATTGTACCAAGGTTGCTTTCAAATCTCTAAATTATAATGAACTTTTCTCATCTTGTCACAATTACCCTAATTTGATTACAAATAATGAGAGAAAAATTATCTCAGTTCATATACTAATTGTGGTAGTTTGGTACTATTTTCCTGGACAGATAAATTAGTGAATTTTTATTTCCTTCAAAAAATTCTAGGCTTATGTTGATATATAGTTGTCTGGTGCTACATTAGTTGAAATTGTATGTACAAACAAGAACATTGAGTGCATAATTATGTTTGCCCAATTGCAGTGTTGTGTTCTGAGTTTGTATTTGCCTATTTAAAATTTTGCTACATATACCCCTTCATCAACTGCTCCTCACCTTCTCTTTTCTTCAACTAGGCTGCAACACTTCGAAATCAGCAGTATTTTTATAACTTTAAATATAAAATTAACTGTTGATTTCGAAATTGTGTTAAGAAGTGGTTTATAATAGTCAGCAAAGTAGCATATGCAGTCCCTTGGAAAGGGAATGATGGACATGCCAAATTATAGGACTGATAGATCTCAAAAAATTGCTTTGATGTCGATGTGAATGCATAGGGTTATACTGGGAGGAGGAACTGTTGGAAGTGTTCAAGCACTCGCTAATTCTAACTTTTGATAGAATGTGATGTGGATTAGGTATCTGTGTTATTTTCTGTTAGTTGCTCTTTAGTCTTTATACAGCATGCAAATTTCTCCTGGCTATGTCAGATAATCTGAGGTATCTGGTTTGATCAAGGACAGTGGACACTTTAAGTGCACCATTTTGCTTATTGGGAAAATAAAGTATTTATATAATTAGTGATCTCGAAAAAGAGTCGTACAAAGGTTTGTGTCCTTACTCCTTAGTGATTTAAAGTTATAAATATTTTATTTTTAACTTACTCAAAGTTATTTCTCCCTTGCTTAGTTGGCAATGAAGTTTCTTTTTCAGCATTGTTATTAACATTGAGGGCTTACATTGTGGTAACTTATGGTGGAAACTTCAAAGGGATGATTTTGCTACTTTTAGAATTTGAACATACACATCTTGTACTTGGTATTATTAGTTAGCTCTCTCAATTAATCCGACTCAAAACTTGCTTTAGCATGTGCGAGTGCATTTGTATTCCAATTTTTGTACAGAATTTTCTTTAAAGAAACACAATTATATCTGACACGTGAACTACGCATGAATCACTGTAATGTTTGGCTTATCCTTTATGATACATAATATCTGGGTTATTAGTGTTCATTTACTCAGCATGGTAGAATTTCAGAAACCTTTTGGTCATTTCCTTGAAAGGTCAATGTTAATGTGGTAGCTATTTTCCTGTTGATTGTTTACATATACATATATATATTTATAAATGTATATTGCTCTTCGGTCTGGAGTCCAAGATAAACGTCGATATTGATTGTTATAAATAAATACATTCTCAGTCGGTCTACTCCAAGATGCATGATTAATTTACTTTCTGTTTTGCATTTGTTTGGTTGTCGTTAAGGAGATAGGCGATCGGTTTAATGGTGGGTTTAATTCATAGTTCATGTTGTGTATCAGATCCTTTTTGAGGATTATGAATTTTGATTCCTTTGTGTCCCTATGCCACATCTCTGACCCTCCTGTACGTAATGGTGTTTATCAGCTTAGAGGATGTGAATATGTATTGGAGGCAATTCTTTGTTATAAGTTACTCTTTCTTCATTCATATCTGGTAAAAATGGGCCATTTAAAGTTGAGGTAGCACTTTTCAAGCTACCTCTGATTTTTCTGTCTTTTCTTGCATTCTTGCTTAGCTTGTATAGTTTTCATGATAGAACTGGGAAGTGGATCGATGGAGTTCGAATCTGAGGCATCCTATGGGGCCTGCATGCAATACAATCTCAAAACCCTTGAGTTGAAGCAAGGGTTGTTTTCTATTTTGACCATTAGGATTCTCCAGTAGAAAATTTGTAAGAGAATAATTTGGTTTCATAGCCTGGATGGGTTGCCGGAATTCGGTAGTAAACCTCATCCAAGATCAAATTTCAGTCCTGTCCTTGGCCATCTCTCTCTTCTCACTATGCAGTCCAATTATTTATAAAGTAATGCTATCAAGGGAGCCTTCTCATAACGAGTTGTGAGATTAAAAGTAGGATTGAAAGAGTTTTACAGATCTCAACAACTGTCTCTTGATCCAGTAGAAAATAAATAGAGAGCTCATTGTCACACCCCGCTACCAAGAGGCTATGCCACGCAGGCGCCACGTAGACAATGACATGGAGGCTGCATGGACTGGAGCTTTCTAGACTTCTCTACACAAGTATGGAACTTTCCGGAATTCTCTAGATTAGTGTGGAGTTGTCTAGCCTTTTCTAGACTTGTCTAGAGTTGTATAGAATTCTCTAGAATTCTCTAGACTTGTCTTGTACATAGTAGATAGTTCTGGAGTTGTGTAGATATTTCTGGAGGATTCTAGACACTAAATCTAGGCCACACATTTGTACACATCTAGAATGTTCTTGTAAGGCCAAAGGCCTATAAATAGGAGGTGAGAGTTCATTTGCTCCTCACCAAGCAACCAAGTTGTAATCTCTCCTCTCAAGCAATACAAGTTCTATACATTCTCAAACTCTCTTGCTCACTTGCCTAACCTCTTCCTACACACCCAAGTAAGCAAAACACTTGTCTAGCCTTAGTCTTCACTAAGCTAGCACACTCGGGTAGGCTGACTTAGCGCTTCAAGGGGGCTTGAAAGTGTCTAAGGCCGCACGGGAGCTTGAAAAGGTTCAAGTCCGTGACAGTTGGTATCAGAGCTAAGGTCGTGAAGCGTCACACCTTGTGTGGAGGAAGCTATGGCGGAGCTATCAGATGTGACTGGCACCCAAGAGGAGACTCTACGTGGAAGGGAAACAAATCCCCCTCCAGGTGGAGTGAGGACGAGGGCTAAGTCGAAGGACATCATGGCGGGCTTAGAGGCACGTGTGGCAATGATGGAGGGGTCCATAGCCAACGTGTTGGAACAGCTTGAGGATGCTCACCAGCGCATGGATGGGCTGGAGTCGAAGGACGTTGAGGTCCAGAATGCTGTCAAAGGGTCACTCAATGCCCTAAGTGGTGACTTTCGGCAGGAGCTCCAAGCACTTCGAGAACTTATGTTGGGGGAGTTTGCCACCCTACGTGGCTATGTTGATCAGGAGCTTGGCACTTGCCGCGAGCAAATGGAGGAAATACGAGCGGACTGGACATTGTGCAAACGGGCGGTGGCATCCGGCACAGCTACTACGGGGGTAGTAGCACCCCGGGTTGATATTCCCAAGCCTAAGTGCTATGGTGGGAATCGGGTAGCGAGGGAGTTGGAGAACTTCCTCTTCAGCATGGAGCAATACTTTGAGGCTACAGGCATGACCGATGAGACCATCAAGATACGCACGGCGACCTACTACCTCACCGACCACGCCATGCTATGGTGGAGGAAAAAGTATGGTGACATAGGCAAAGGTACGGTCTCTATTGATACTTGGGCTGATTTCACTAGGGAAATTAAGAAGCATTTCTATCCTGAGAATGCCGAGGATGAAGCTAGGGGCAGACTCCGAAGGCTAAAACAGGTTGGGTCGATTCGGGACTATGTGAAGGAATTCACTAACTTGACTCTTGAGATCCCGGATCTATCCGACAAGGACTCTCTTTTCTTCTTCATGGATGGATTGTAGTTGTGGGCTAAGACAGAGTTGAGGCGGCGCAACGTGCAAGACCTTGCCACAGCTATTGCAGAGGCGGAGTCCTTTATTGATTTCAGCTCCAAGAAGGAACCCTCGTCCAAGCCAAAAGACAAAAACAAGGATAAGGGGAGGTATGCCGGCAAAGGTGGGGGAGACAAGGGCGCTGCACCCCACAAGGATTGGTCCCGTAAGCCAGGTGGTGGCCATGGAGGCAAAGAGGGAAGGGAGAACAAGGAAGGAGCACCCAAGCCTAAGGGTTCTTGCTTCATATGTGATGGACCACATTGGGTACGAGATTGCCCAAAGCGGAAGACCCTCAATGCCATGACGAGCCGCTATGAAGAGCAACAACAGGAGGAGGCGCAGATGGGTTCATTGCAAATCCTTAATGCCATTAAGGCTAAAACTGAAGTCCCTAAGGCGGCGGCTAAAGGGCTAATGTTCATGGAGGCGAGCATCAATGGGACACCCACACGTGCTTTAGTGGACACGGGTGCATCCCACAACTTTGTGAGCCTTGACAAGGCCAAGAGGTTGGGCCTCAAGTATAGCAAAGAAGGGGGCTCCATGAAGGCAGTTAACTCGGCGGCAAAGGCTATACATGGCATGGCACACGGCGTCCAAGCATGCATTGGCGAGTGGGGTGGCCACATAGATCTATTGGTGGTACCCATGGACGACTTCAAACTAGTCCTTGGGTTGGAGTTCTTAGACAAGGTGAGAGCCTTCCCCATCCCTTTTGCTAACACTATGTGTATTATGGAAGGCAACACAGCATGCATGGTGCCAGTGGAGC